AGGGGTGCGCGGAGAGATACGACGGGCAAAGTCCTTAAGGATCGGCGTTCACCACGCCGACGCGGTCGTATGGGGACCAGTGTATAGGACGCACCTGATCCGCTCCTTCGCGGGCTCGACGCGCACCGCGGCGGCGACCCAATCGTCGGTGCTCTCCACCTCGACCGCGGCGACGACGTCGCCGCTCCGGTCCGCGGCGAGGATCGAAGCGGCGGCGTGGTCCTCGGACGCGAGCAGTTTCCCGGGCTCCGGGAGGTAGGGAATCTCCGGCGCCTCCGCGGGCGGCGGCGGCGGCGGCGACGGCGACGACTGTCGGCGCGTGTGCGACGGCGAACCCGCGTGCGCGATCATGCCGATGTACAGACTCGTCCCCGCGGGCTGCCACTCCTCGAGATCCGCTCTCGCCGCGCGCTTCGCCGCGACGACCGCCGCGGGCGGCGTCAACAGCAGCGGCATCGAGGGCAACGAGAGAGAGCGCTTCACGTCGGCGCCGCCGTCGTCCCGCTCGCGCTCGTGGTCCTGCTCCGCGGGTGTCGGCGCCGACGCGAGGAGCTTCTCGATCTCGTCTTCGTTCAGACCCAGAGCGACGTCGCCGGCGCCGACGAACCACTCGTCCTCCCACTCGGACGACCCGCGCGCTATCCGCGAGCCCGAGCCGCCGGAAAATTCCCCCCAGCCGCCGCCGCCGCCGCCGCCGCCGTCGTCGTCGTCGTCGTCGTCGGACAAGTCGGTCAAGTCGACCTCGGTCTCGAGCTTGTTCCACATCAGCGATGGGAACATCGGCGCGTCCGCGTCGAGCAGCGCCGCGTCGGATATCGTCCCGGGGAGGTGCGCGTTCGGGTGGTCGTGGCTGTGCCGTCGTCGTCGTTTCTCCTCCGCGGCTCGGTCCTCGCGTCGCGCGCGACGCTGCGAGAGAAAAAAATCGTCCCCCCGCGGGGTCGCGATCGGCGACGTCGTGAAGCTGCTCACGGGCGTCGGCGTCGGCGTCGCCGGCGTCGCCGGCGTCGCGGGCATCGCGGGCGTCGTGGGCGTCGGCGTTTGATATAAGGCTGACGGAGAGAGGAGAGACGACGACGGAGAGACGGAGAGAGGAGAGACCCGGCTGCGGTCGCGGCGGCGTTCGCACGCTCGGCGGTCGCGACGCTCGGGGTTCCTCACCGGGGAGTCACTGAACGCGCGCGCGATCGCCGCGCAGGTGTCGCGGCCGGGGGTGTCGCCGTGGTACTTGTCGAAGACGCTCACGAGCAGCGCGCGCTCGGCTTTCGTGAAGCGGAACCCTGCGGGCGGAGAGGGAGGGACGCGCGCGGTCTCGGCGACGAGTTTTATTCTTGTTTTATGATTCGGAGGTCTTCTTCGGTCAGGTCTTCGACCGCGCGCGCGCCGGCGGCGCGACGTTTCGAGACCTTTCGAGAGCGACGGAGGCGCGCGGGGAGGTCCCCGCGCGCTTTCTCCTTCGCTCGCGAGGACGATCGCGGACGCACCGTGGACGTGTCTCGAGAACTTCACCGTGCGCGCTCGCGGGGACGCGGCGGCCGGGGACGTCGTCGCGGTCGCGGCGGCGTCGCGCGCGGACGGCGTCCCCACCGAGAGCGCGCGCGCGTTCTCCCCCGGGGGCGACGGCGACGGCGGCGGCGTCGCGAAGACGCCGACGCCGCCGGCGCCGTCGTCGCATCGCTCCACCGCCGCCATGAGCTGCTGCGGGATGCTGCACATGCTCGCGCGGCGACGCGTATCGGGTCGCGTCGTCGTCGGCGCGCGCGGGTATGCCGGCGCGGGCAGGGGGCGCGCGCGCCGCGTTTAGGCGTGCGTCTGAAGCTGGGCATCTGATTCGCTGCGTTGTTCGGGCACCGGGTGATGACTCATCAACCGCGCACGCGAGGAACGCGCTCCTCGGCCCGTCCGAGGCGGCGTCGTTCCTTCCGCGAACAGAACGAACGCGCGTTGCATCTGATAATAAGTTCACGTTCCAACATAAAACACCCGCCGCGCTCGCTCGCCGCACTCACGCCCTCGAGATGATGTCCACGCACACCACCCACTCCCCCCCCCCTCCGCCGACGCCTCCGGATAACTCCCGCGGCACCCCCTCGACGCCAAAGTCCAAGACGACGTCCGCGTCGCTCACCGTCATCCTCGCGTCCGACGCGCGACCGTCTTTCGCGTTCGCGTCCGGGGCACCGCGGCGGACGTCCCCTTCGGGCCCCGCGATCTCAACAATCTCTCTCATCGCCGCCCTGACCGCGTAGACGCCCGGCGCGGGGTACTGATTCCTCGCGGAAGCGAGCGCGAACGCGATCTCCGTGTCGCTGGCGTCGAACGACACGTCCGCGGCGACGTCGTCGACGGACATCACGAGCCGGTGCGGCCGGCCCAGGAGCGCGTTGCACTGCTCGACGTCTCCGGCGGCGAGGCACGCGCGGACGCGCGTGCTCGACACCTGCGGCGTGCACCCGCCCGGGCAGTCGAAGTCTTCCTCGATATCCGCGGGAAGGAGGTCCACGATGGAGACGTCCACGTCGAGCTTCTCGCCGAGATCGACGAGCGTGTCCGCGGTGCCCGCCGCCTTGAACCCGAACCGGTAGTTTCTCCCGGCGACGACGCCGCCGACGCCGATATCCTTCAGCGTCTTCACGAACTCCTCCGGGGACATCCTGCGAATCGCCGCGAAGGGTATCGCGTGCTCTCGCAACTCTCGCGACACCAAACCCTCCGCGCGCCACAACTCGCACACGCGCTCGCGGTCCTCGGTCGCGACGACGGGCAGCGTCGGCGTCCATCCGAGCACCTCCGCCATGCCTCCGAAGGAGACGAGGTACGGCGCGCCCATCCCCGCGGCGACGGCGGCGAGGCGCGCGTGGCCGCGGTGCATGGCGTCGAACTTTCCAAGCGCGACGATCGTCTTCGCGCCGTCCGCTGTTGATAAGGGATGGAGGAACGGACGGAGGGACGGACGGAGGGATGGAGGGAGGGTCAGAGGGCGATGCAGTCGACGCGAGGGTGGCGATTCTTCTATCGATCGATCGACGGATCCTTCCTTCTTCGAACGACGGGGAAGGAAGGACGAGAGGCGAGGGAAGCGACCGCGGCGACGCGCACCCGCGGGGGCGATGCGCTCGAAGTTCGTGGAGACCGTCTCCGACGCGGCGGCGACTATCCGCGCGGCGGCGGCGCGGGCGCTCCTCGTGAGCGCCATGCCTCCTCCTCCGCCGCGGTCTCGGCGACGGAAGTTTCGCGAGCGCGTCGCGCGCGCGGGCGGCGCGGGCGCGCGCGCGTTCGCGCACGGCATCAACGACGCGCGCGCGCCTCGCACCCGAATCAAACCCCGGACGGAGCGCGTCGTCGCGGGGACGTGCGCGCCGGTCGTCGCGGCCGCCGACGACCACGCCGAGGGAGCGCGCGGCGGTGTGACGCGACGGGCGAATTCTCATCAGGCTCATCAGCCGGCGTCAAAAAGCGCACGCGCGGGTCATCGAGACAGCGGCGAGCGCGAGTTTCGGGACTGGATAAACTCGCCGAGACGCGCGCGTCGCGAGACATTCCGGCGGACGCGACTCGCGCCACGCCATCTGAGAATCGAACACTCGAGGTCGAACCCCTCGTCCGTTCACAACCATGGCGTCGCTCACGTGCGTCAACGCGATGGTCGCGTCCAAGGCGCGATTCGTCGGGGGTGCGCGCGTGTCCGCGAAATCGAGCATCACCCGCGTCGGTGGGCTGAAAGCGAAGGCGAGCGTCTCCATGCGCGTCACGGGTACGTCTCCGCTCGATTCCGCGCGCGTCCGCCACCAGAATGACCTCCTCCGCGACCTTGGTGAACGCGACGACGCGTCGCGAGCGGCGTCGGCGTCGATAGCGGCGCGTCGCGCGCGCCGTCCGGCCGCGCTCCGGCGTGTTTTCATAACCTAGGGCTTCCGCTCACCGCGTCTGACGTTGTCCTCTCCCCACGCTCCCTCGCCGCGAATCGCAGGCGGCAGGCAGGGTCTCAGCGTCCGCGCCGCGGGTCTGGACTTCGCGGAGCTCGAGACCGCGGCCTCGCAGGACGAGGATGACGACGCCGATTGGGTTGCCCCCGTGGTGCGTCGTCGCGCCGCGTTCTCCGTCCGCGACGACGTCGCGCGATTTTTCTCGAATTCCTTCCTCGGCGCGCGGAGCGCGAGCACCGAATCCCTCAACCCTGAAAATCGATCGATCCCTCGAGCGGCCTCCTGACGTCCTCCCCCCTCCCCCCCTCCACCCCCCCGCACTGCTCACAGCGCGCCACGCGCAAGGACGGCAAGAGCGCCAAGGAGGCGAGAATGTCCAAGCGCTTCCTCAAGGCGTTGAAGAGCGTCCCCGGGCGCCTCAACCCGGTCTCCCCCGAGGAGGGCATCAAGCTCATGATGGACAACGCCACGGCGAAGTTCGTCGAGTCCGCGGAGGCGCACGTTAGGCTGAACATCGACCCGAAATACAACGACCAGCAGCTCCGCGCGACGGTCGCGCTGCCGAAGGGCACCGGGAAGACCGTGCGCGTCGCGGTGCTGTGCCAGGGCGATAACATAGCCGCGGCGAAAGCCGCGGGGGCGGATTTCGCGGGCGCGGACGATCTCGTCGAGGACATCGCCGGCGGGATGCTCGACTTTGACCTTCTCATCGCGTCCCCGGACATGATGCCGAAGGCGGCGAAGCTCGGCCGCGCGCTCGGCCCGAAGGGTTTGATGCCGAACCCCAAGGCTGGCACCGTGACCCCCGACGTCGTCACCGCGGTGAACGAGTTCAAGGGGGGCAAGGTTGAGTTCCGGGCGGATAAGCAAGGGATCGTGCACGTGCCGTTTGGCAAACTGAACTTCACCGCCGCGGATCTGCAGGAGAATCTCGTGGCGATCGTCGCCGCGATCAACGCGAACCGCCCGCCGGGGGCTAAGGGGATCTACTGGAAGAGCTTGTACATCGCGTCCACGATGGGGCCGAGCGTGATGATCGATCACACCGCCGTGGAGGCTCAAGTGGGGAAGTAATTCATTCATTGTCGTGTGAGGTGCCGCAGCGGTAGCTCGTAGAGGGTTTATATACATACGTTGATATCGACGCACTTTTCTTTTGACACCGCGCGCGCTACTCTCGTCGTAGAGAACGAACGAACGAATGTTCGAGAATGTCTCGAGTAGTTATTAAAAGAATTGATGAGTAGTGCGACAGCGGCGAGCTATTTGTGCGGCAGGTTGAAAACCCTCGTTCGCTTCGGTCGATAATACTCGACCGGCGTGAACGATCCGGGTTTGTGTTAAAAGCTTATTGATATATGCGGCGGATGTACATGTATTCGCGGCAGCGGGCGTTATGTGATGTAACAGCGGCGGTGACGTGGATCGTCGCGCGTGTCGCGCGCGACGTCCGCGTCGTTTCCTCTTTTCTTTCGGCAGTCAAAACAGCGAGTACGTCGAGTCGCGTTTCGCTTCCGCGGACTCCGCCCCGAGCGACCCGACGATCCCGCTGCCGTTCGACAGCGACGACGGCGCGGCGATGTTCACGCCGTTCGAGCGACCGTCAATCGACCGCTTCGGGGAGGACAGAATCCCGCTCTTGTCCTCCCACAGACCGCCGTCGAGCGACAGACGCGACGACGCCGGCGTCGCGCGCACGTCCAAGGAGGCTCTTCGCGACGCTCCCCCGAGCGGGGACGCGCCGCCGTCGAACCCGCCCCAAAGGCTGGAAGATCCATTCGCGGCGCCGAACCCGTTGGGCGACCCCCCGCCGACGACGCCGTTCGCGCCTCCCGGGCCGAGCGGCGACTTCCCCACCGAGGTCGAGTTCCCGAGTCCGAGGTCGATGGTGTTAAACGCGGACGACACCGCGTCGAGCTCCGAGACGTACGGGTTCGCGCGTCCGACGCGACCGTTCACGTCCACGCTATGGCGCCGACCGAGCCCGCCGTTTCGCTCCTCGGGGTACTGCTCGCTGAACATGAGCGACCGAGAGAGCATCCCCGCGGGCGCGGGCGCGGGCGCGGGCTGGTCGCTCGGCGGCAACGGTCCCCGCGGCGGCGACGTCGACGGCGCCCTCGGCGGCGACCCTCGCCGGGGGCGCTGCAGTTGCAGTTGCTGCTGCTGCATCGCGAGTAAAGTCGCCATCGCGTCCGGAGAGATCCCGTTGATCGCTCCGTTGTTCGCGTCGACGCCGTGCCTCGACGGCGACCCATCCGGGTTCAGACCGCCGGTCGGGGAGCCGTTCAGACCGCCGGGCCCCGCTTGCGCTTGCGCGGCGAGCAGCGCCGCGAGCGGGTTCGCCCCGCCCGCGCCGTTCTGCGACGCTCGGAACAGCATCGCCGCCGCGGCGGCAGCCTGCTGCTGCGATTGCAACATCGCGGCGGCCGCGGTCGCGGGATCGAACCCCACGGCGTTGATGTTGAAACCGGAAGAGCCGTCGAACGAGTGCCGCGACCCCGCGGCGGCGTCGCCGAAACCGTTCGCGAAGGAAGCTCCGTTCACGGGGACGGACACGGCGCGTTGGAGCGCGTTGAACCCTCCGAACCCGCCCGCGCCGAGCGCGGCGAGCGCGGCGGCGCCGCCGGCGAACGCGTTCGCGGCTTGGTTCGCCGCGAGATCGGTCGTGGAGCCGTGGTAGAACCGGCAGCTGCGGAGCGGAGGAAGGAAGGAAGGAAGGAAGCGATCGGTCGGCGTCGGGGATAACGAACGAACGAACGCTTCGGGGTTTTTTCGGTCGGTAGGGTTCGACGACGACGACGCGCGGACGCATGCGGGTCGACGCGCGCGCACCTCGCGCGGAAGCATCGGCCGTTCTGGAAATCTCTGCAGATCGGCTGGTTGGACTGCACCGCGGGCTGAGACCCGTCCACGGAGCTGTGCGCGTAGCGGCAGTTATCGCGGAAGCACGCGCCCTGCGAGAGAGTTGGGAGGGGAGGTCGTCGTCAGTCGTCGGTGCGGTGGGGTCCTTTCAGGTCAGGGAAAGGAAAGAGATGCCAACCGGTGCGGGTGGCGCGCCGCCGACGCGCCCGCCCGCGCGCGATCGACGCGATTCGGTTCGGTGCGATGACGTACCTTCAAGAAATCCCTGCACACCTCCGGCCTGCCGACGACGGCCTGCGCCATCGGCGGCGCGGGCGCGGCGACGACGGACTCGACCGCCGTCATCATTCGTCACCGGGTAAGGCCGACCGTCGATCGATCCCCCGACTCGCGCAGCCGTCCTCCGCTATCCTGCGCCTTGAACGCGCGGGTGGAACGACGAGCGCGCGACGGGAACGCGACGTTCTCGAGACGTTCTCGCGAGGCTGACCTCGGCGAGGGAACGACGCCGCTCTACTCGCGCGCGTCCGCACTGCGAAGCGCGGGCGGCGGGCGACCGTCCACGCGGAGCGAAAAGGCTGTGAAAAAGTGAGACCGCTTGATCGACGGGTGGTTGTGTGGTGGGTCAGAAACGACGAGCTGGAAACCGAGCTGGAATTTTCGCGTCAACGAACGAGCGGCGTGGAAATTTCATACTGATTGCCCACTGCATCATTTTCGTACGTAGTAGTTTTTGGACGAGCCGCGGTGTGATGACGTGGCTCGACGTCCTCGCGACCGCTAAAAACGGCCGCGCGCGTAGGGCTAATAAGAATAGTCTCGGTTTTTTCGCAGAGCGCGAGGAAAGGAGGAGAGGCGTGGAGACGCGACGAGACCGCACGTATTATCGTGGTATTAAAAGGAAAGTGATACAAAACAGGGTCACGGGCTCGTAATAGAGGTCGAGCGCGCGGCGCGAGGGCGTAATAGGTCGCCGTCGCGTCTTTCTCGCGTGCGTACGTGGTACAGCGTAGCGTACATCTCTTCAGTCGTCTTCTTCTTCTTCGTCGTCGTCGTCCTTCAATCGTCGTCTGGCCGCTCAGTGGCTCGTCGCCGCCGCCATGCGACGCATCTGTTCCTCGAGCTGCTCGCGCGGGACGGTCATTACGACGTCCTCGGGCTCGTCGTCCGCGCCGTACAAGACGCACACGACGTCGCCGGATTCGCCCTCCTCGTCGCAGTGCACGTGCCTCCCCGGGCGGTGTTGCACGACGTTGTTGACGCCCATCGACGCGTTGCTTCCGACGCGGCGAAGGTGCGTGCTCGAGTTTTGTCTTCGCACGCCACCGCCCGTGGCGGTGGTGTTGAAGTTGTCCGCGCCTCGCAGGGAAGACCCGCGCGACTTCGACCCGGAGATGTCCAGGGTGGACTCGAGCATGCGCTCCAAGGACGCGAACGGGTTGGGCGCCGTCGCGCTCGCGCCGCGGCTCGGGTTGGACTTGTCGAAGGACGCGTCGTCGAACGCCGACGGGGCCCGTCGCTTCATGAGATCGTCCGCGGCGATCTTCGAGAGCTCCGCGAACGCGTCCAGCGGCGCGGAAGTAGGACCGGAAGCCTTGGTCGTGAGCCGCGCCGCCGCTCTCGGGCGTCGGTCGAGCTCCATGTCGTAAAACGCCGTGTCGGCGACGTCGACGCTCGGGAGATTTCTCGGCGAGGCGCGGCGCGGGAGTTTCACGATCCCGGATCTTCGAGCGGCGACGCGTCGGCGCGATACTTCCATCGCGAACGCGGCGGTGTCCATCGCGGCCATCGCGGGCGGCGGCGGCGCGTCCGCGAGGGCGGGCGCGCGGAACGTCCCGACGCGTCGCGCCGCCTTCGGTCTGCGTTCGATTTCCATCAGCGCCGCCGCGGTGCGCGCGAACGGCAGCGGCGCGAACGCGGTCGGCTCGGTGACGTCCACGGAGAGGTAACGGACCTCACCGATGCGTTTCGCCGCCCTATGGCGACGGTCGACTTCCATCTTGTAGTAGTTCGTGTCTTGAGCGCTCATCGTCGGGACGTCTGCGGGCGGAAGGAGGGGGAGGGTCAGCCTCAGGGAACGAAAAAAAAATCTTCGAGAGAGATTTATTCGCCAATTGTCAGGAATATACGCACCACGCGGCTCGGCGAATGAGGCGACGTAGCCGAGCCTTCGCGCGGCCTTAGGGCGTCGCTCGAGCTCGAGCGCGCGAACTTGAAGGTCTCCTTCGGCGACTGCGTTCGAAGAGGGGGAACGGAGGGTGAATTCACGCTCGAGCGCGACGCGCGCGCGCGGTTCCGGGGGGGGAAAAAACGCGTCGAAGGCGGCGAATCTGCCGCGTCAGCTCGGGGGGATCTGGCGCGATCTGGCGAGATAGGGTCGTGAAAGCGCACCTCTCGGGACGTCGAAGCGCTGAACCGCGGGCTGAGGGACGTTCATACCGAGACGACGCGCGGCGTGCGGTCGTCGAGCCGCTTCCATCGCGAGGTGCGGCGCGAGAGCGGGAGCCGCGGACGTCATTTCTTTCGGCGCTTTAACGCGTAAAGCAGAAAAACGCGTGAGATCGTGCGGGGGCCGGAAGCGCGAGAGCTTCGAGCGCGCGACGCGAACGGAGCGTCGAGAGCGTAAAGTGAGCGGAGGGTGACTTCACGCGAACGTTCGCGTGAAGACGACGGGGGCTTTTGCGTGAGCGCGAGTTTCGGCGGCTGTGCTGCGCGTCGAAGAATGAAGAATATCCGAGTTCGTTATTCGTTCCTGCTTGGGGGGAGTCAAACAGACGATGTGTCAGGGCAGAATAAACACAGTCAGCAGGGCATGCCCTCGACCCCGCGTCGTCGCCGCGTCGCGTACAAAGCAGGCACTGCGTTACAAAATAAATCTTCTCTAACTATCGTACAACGAACGTCGTCGCGAGCGAACGACGCGGCGTCAGGGTTTAGGGTTTAGCCGCTCGTCGCTCTCAGCCGCGATGGAGGTGCCTCATCTTGTGGTCCAGCCCGTCCCTCGGCACGCGCATAACCTCCTGCGTCTCCCAACAGAGCGGATCGTCGAGGACGCACACGACCTCGCCGTTCTCGCCCTCGGACTCGCACCGGACGTGCTTCGGCGTCAGCCTCGCCTCCTCCTCGAGTCGCGACGGCACCGCGTTGTTGCTCTGGCTCTGCGACGACGCCGCGCCCGCGGTGATGCCCATGCCGGCGGCGGCGAAATTCATCGCCTTGGCGAACGCGTCCTCGCCGCGGACGGCGATCTGCCGCGATAAGATGCGCTCCAACGACGCGAGCTTCGCCTCCAGGCCCATGACGCCGTCGAGGGCCATGCCCTCGAGGACCGCGTCCGCGGCGTGGTCGACCGCGGCGTCGATGGAGGCCATCCTGCCGCGTATCTCTCTCGTCATTCGCATCGCCATGTAGTGGAACAGCGATCGCGAGTGTTCGCCGTCCGCGTCAGTCTGCGCCGCGAGCTCTGGCTCTTCGTTCAGGAGCCGCGCGAGGCGCGCGGTGGGGCGGCGGTCGTAAAACGCCGTCGCGAGCTTCACCGGCGGTCTCGGCCCGGTCGCGCGCGCCGCGTTCTGTCGCTTCGCCACGAGCTCGTGGCTCAGCTCGGGGAGCTGCGGAAGCACGGTCGTGACCGCGTGCGTCATCTTCTTTTTTTTCCTTTATCCCTCGCGGTGCGTGGGTCCCGGAAACGCGCGCGTCACGGCGGCGCGACGCGGGCGACGGCGCGGAGAGCGTTTAAACGCGTTAGAGGTGCGCGTACCGAGACGATACGCGCGAAACGTTTGAAAGCGTGCGTGCGGCGCGAGCGCGTCGAGGCGTAATGAGCAATGCGCGTCTCCGCAACCTCGAGATACCCGCCAAAAACCAAGCCACGTATGCGGAGTAGACGAATCCTACGAGAGAATCTTCGTTTTCATCTTGCCACGTGGACCGCGGAGTGACTCATAACCGTATGCGAATCGGAGATCCGCGTACTACGAGAAAAAGTACTTTTTGGGTTCAGGTTGTTTTTTACGAAGGTACTTTCGTACGAAGGTACCTTTTTTAGGGTTGATAGTGCAATCTCGCAGTGCCACTGCCCGCCAGTACAGCGAGAAAGGCTCCGGCCAATTCAATTGTCACTACTGCGAGGAGCGCGGCCGCGCCCGTCGTCCGCGCCGCGATGGCGTGGTACGACGAAGAGACCGAGGACGAGCGGCTCGTGCGCGAGGCCGCAGAGGACGTCCACCGTCGCCTGCGCGTGCGATCCGCGCGCGAGGACGACCGCGGCGCGGTGTTTCTCCCCGCGTCCACCTCGCGCGCGATCGCGATGCCCGCGTCCTCGCGCCCCGCGCTCGCGCCGTCGTCGTCGTCGCGCGCGCCCGCGCCGCGCACGCCGGAACCCCCCGCGTCGCCGTGGCGCGACGACGTCGCGAACGACGCGGACGCGGATCGCAACAGAAGGCTCGCGCTCGCGAGGGACGTGGCCGCGCGGACGGGCGCGACCCCGGATCTCTCGCGCAAAGTCGCGAGAGACGTGATGGACGCGGAGAGGAAGGCGGTCCTCGCCGCGGTCGGGCCGTTGCTCGCGGCGAGCGAGACGCGACGCGCGTCGCCGCCCAGCGCCGGGTCCGAGTTCTCGTTCCGCGGAGGAGAGCGCGCGTCGCGATCGGGGTCGAGGGACGCGGCGAACGCGGCAAATCATCATGATTCCCCGCGAACCGACGACGACGACGACGGCGCGGGGGGCATGAGCGCGGCGCTGTGGGAGATGGCGAGGACGCCGCCGCCGGAGGAGGTTCGCCGCGCGCTGGGGTACAGATCCTTCGGCGTCGACGCGGCGGCGCGCGGCGGGTTCGGGAGCGACGACGACGCGGGAGGAGGACGAGGAGGACGACGAGGAGGAGGAGAAGGAGAGAAGGACGTCGAGGCGTGGACGCGAGAGTACGACGAAAACGACGACGTCGCGAGGCGAGCGACGACGACGGCGACGGACGCGTGGGCGCACTCGATGGACGCGCGACGGCGGCTCGCGCGCATTGCCGCGGCGACGAAAGACGCCGCGATGTACGGCATGCACAGGCTCGATCTGGAGAAGAACCCGACGGGGACGACGCCGCCGAGGCTGAGCCTCGCGACGGGCGGGACGGGCGGCGCGGAGGAGGCCCCGCCGCTCGAGGCGTCCGGGTCCGCGCTCGCGGAGGAGTTCGCGTCGATGCTCGACGCGATCGCGTCGCGACCCGCGTCGCCGCCCGGGGGGGACGCGAGAAGCCTGAACGCGCGGTCGCCGCTGCCGCGACACTGGGCGCCCGCGGGAGAGCGCGAACGCGAGGCGGCGTCCGACGGCGGCGGCGGCGGCGGCGCGTACGGAGAGGGCGACGGCGACTCGGACCGGTGGTCCCCCGAGGACGCGGCGAACGTTCGCGCCGCGCGCGCGGCGGCGTGGCGCGCGGAGACCGCGGCGCGGGCGATCGTGGAAGAGGAACGCCGCGTCCGCGAGAGCGTGGGCGTCTCCGTCGGCGAGCTCTTAGACGCGAGGGTGGAGCTCGCGGCGGCGACGGCGAGGGCGGTGAGCGAGGAAGCCGCGATGAGCGTCGTCGCCGTCGCCGCGGAGGCGGCGTCGCTGCGGATGACCGTGAACGAGAGAGCGCGCGGGGGTGATCCGGACGAGCCCACCGCGGCGAAGCTCGCGGAGTATTTAGAGCAGCCGCTGCCGGTCGTGGAGAAGATCGTAGCGAGCTAGCGGCGGAGGGGGGGGGGCATCCTCGCCTCGACGCGCACAGCTGTGCGTAGGTGTGTACGCGTGAAACAAACGGAAAGGTCTAAAAACCGTGAGGTCCCTCATACTCGCCCGCGCGCGCGTCTCGCGCCCGCCCCCCACGCCGCGTTCCTTCCATGCACGCCGCCGTACGAAACGCCGCGTACAAGATGGACGAAGCCTTCGCGTTCGACTCCGACCCGACCGGGCAGGTCGGCGCGAGCGCGACGCAGCAGTCGCGCTCGCCCGAGCGAAAGACAACGACGGCGGCGACGAGCGTCGACGGGAGGGCGCCCGCCGCCGCCGCGAAGAAGCCGCGCGCGGGGATGAGCTCCACCGCGATCAACGCCCTGCGAGCCGCCGTCGACGCGTTCGTCGCGCGCGTGACGTCCCCGGCGACGGGGAGGAAAGCGCCCTGGCCGCTCGCCGACCTCGTTCCCCTGGCGGTTCGAGACGACGCGCAGGAGTACCTCAAAAAGACTAAAGCGCACGAGCTCCGCGCGCTCTACGCGCGCGTCGAGACGTCGTTCGAGACGCTCGTGCGGTTCCCGCTCACGAAAGAGGCGTACGGCAAGCTCGACAGGTTCGTCCGCGCGTTCCCCGGGTGCGACGCGCGACGGCGCGAGGTCGGGCCGGAGGAGAGGCGGAGGGAGGGGTTCGAGTTCGCGCGAGGCGAGGTGCACTTCGTCGACGTCGTCGTCACCGCGGAGGGCGTCGCCGCGGCGAGGGACGTCCTCGCGTCGGGCGCGAAGGAGCGGATCACGGGCCTCGTCGACACCCCCACGGCGTGAGCGAGAGCGAGCGAGAGAGCGAGAGCGCGAGGCGCGAACAGAAGCGACACGAGGACCGAACGAACGCCGTTCCACGAAAAAATGGATGAAGAAAAAGAGAAGACGACGTCACCCTCGCGCCGGGATCAAGCCTTTCATCTCCATGCGCTTCCGCTTCGACGGTCGCGGCACCCGCCGTGGCTGCTTCGGACGGCCCTCCGCCGCCGCCGGCCTCGCGGCGGCGCTCGCGCTCTTATCCTTCGTCCCGAACGACGACCCGCCGTGCGCCGCCATCTTTCGCACCATCACCGTCTCCGTCCTCGGCGGCGCTCTCTTCTTCTCCTCCTCGCCGCCGCCGTCCGAAGAGCCGCCGTCCGAAGAGCCGCCGTCGTCGTCGCCGCCAGCCTCGATGGCGTCCGTCAGACGCGCGATGAGCGCCGCTTTCAATCCGGTAGTCGCGAGCCCGCGTCGTTTGAGCTCCTCCTTGAGCGCGGTCACCTTCATCTTGCTCACTCCGGCCGCCGCGCCCTTGTGCAGCTCCTCCGTGGACCGCGTCTTGTTCTTCGTCCGCTTCTTCCCATCGCCGCCGCTCGCGTCGTCGTCGTCGTCGTCGTGGTCGTGGTCGTGGACGACCATCTTCACCGCCTTTTGCGGTCGACCGAGCGCGTCCGTGCCTGTCGCTCCCCTCAGCGCCTTGAACGCCATGTTACACGCCTCGATCGTCTTGAACTCTATGTACGCCGTCGTCGTCTTCGGCGCGCCGGGGGCGAGCTCTCTGGACGTCTCCGGGCCGAGGAACTTCCCGTGCACGGCCTCGATGTCGTCCGCGTGGTCCACGCCGGTCGTGCCGTTATTCTTCGCGAACATCCCTATCAAATCCGACTTCAACGTTCCTCGCTTGACCCTGTGCGCGAACAACTTTAAAAGGTCCCGCGGGTCAACCTTATCCTCCGGCGGCGTCAACGGCGCGCTCGGTCCGTTGACCGCCTCCCACTTACACAGCTCCATCGCCGCTTTCGCGTCCTCGACGCTGTCGTGCGCGCCGTCGCCGCCCTTGCGCATCTCCACGCCGAGCAGCCGCTTGCAGAGATCCGCGAGCCCCGGCGTGCTTCGCGGCAGGTTTTCGTACTCGAACAGCATCGCGGTGTCGATCACCGGCGCGTGATGAAACTTCAGCGCGCGGAGATCGTGCACGAGACCGTGCCCGACGAGAATCGTCTCCGCGGTCACGATCGATACGAGCTCGCGCTGGACGTCCGCGAGCGTCGTCGTCACGCGCGTAAAATCCTTCGCGGAGAGCCCGGTGACGTCCGTCTTGTAGTCCACGACGACGCCCGGGGGTTTCACGAGCGTCTTCAGCAGCACCTTCCCGCGCTCGTCGACGACGGAGACGCCGATAAGCGCCCTCGCGTCCGACGTCGTCTCGCACATCTCGCAGTCGAGCGCGACGAGCCGCGGCGCGAGATTCTTCTCGACGCACCACCGCGGCGGTCGCTGCTTCACGCTGCGAACCCACCCGGCGGCGTGCGACGGCAGCGAGCCGTACGTCTCGTCGTACGTCGCGTGCGCGCTCGTGCGCGCCGCGAGCGCCCACGGGCCCGTGGTTGGGATGACGGACGGCGGCGCGTCGTCGTTCCAGCGCTTCCACGCCGCGCGTCGCTCCGCCCATCGCGACCACCCGAGGTGTCGGCGCGCGACGTCCGTCCATCGCGCGCGCGCGCTCGCGACGTTCTGGACGAACGAGCTCAGGACGTCCCAGTCGTGCTTGGACGGATCGTGCGTCGTGCGCTTCGCGCCCTTTTGCGTCGCCTTCAGCCACGCTTTGAAGTCGCCCTGGAGGGAGGGAGGGAGGGAGGGAGGGACTGAGGGTCACGCATCGCGACGGCGGGGGGGTTCTTTTCGTCCATTCAGGACGCGGACGGGGGAGACGGACGGACCTTGTCGCCGGTCGCGCCCTCCTTCGCGAGCTCCTTCACGAGCCTCACGAGACATTCCTTATCCCCGTCGCCGAAAGACGCGAGGTCGATCGTTCGTTCCCGCTTCTGCCCCATGGCGCGTCGAGGGAGAACGACGACGAGGCGCGACGATGCAATGACGATGACGGCTCGTCGAGCACGATGATTTACGTGTACCTCGAGGGACGCGGGAGGGGCGTTCGTTCGTTCGTCAGCGCGTCTCGTCTTCGATGCGCAAGAGCTACTTCTAATCCTAATAAACCTCCCGCTCCGTCGTCACTTCTTCTTCTTCGAGCGCTTCCCCTCTCCCTTCTTCGGTTGCACCTTCCCTCGCCGCTTGAGCCGCTCGACGCGATCCGCCCTGAACGCCGCCTCCGGGCACTCGTACAGCGGGTCTTGTCGCACGCCGATCGGGTACGCCTCCGCGTACCACTCCAACATCTTCGGCCCGGCGAGCGCTTTCGCGAGGACCTTCCGTCCGCTGCGCATGCCGTTGCCGACGTGCATCCCGAAGATCCTCGCCGCGGCCGCGGCGACCTTCTGCGAGCGCGTCAGCGCGCTTGACATGGCGCGCTCGCTCTCTCTGCGCCTCGCGTCGGAGGGAGCGCCTTCTCGCTAGGGTTCCCTGTCGAGCGCGCGCGCGCGGGCTCCGCGCGCGGGTTCGAGCGCGCGTCGGCGGTGGCGCGTTCTTCGGAAGCCTTCCGCGCGACGACGCGGGTCTCGTCGTCGACTCGTGCGTGCGGACGCGCGCGCGATAGTGCCGAAGGCGCGGCACGCGAGCACGAAATGACCAGCGCGTCGCGCCTTGCTCGAATGATTTCGTTGCTGGTTCTGTTTTCGCGCCGGTTTTTTTATCTGAGGAGGACGACAGGACGTCGACGTCGCCTCGCTCCGGCTGCGCGTTCACTGCCGCCGACGCACGCGCACGCGCAGAGTACGACCAGCACCGCTACCACCATGGCCGAGGAGGAAAAGAAGAACGATGAGAAGGGCGATCACATCAACCTGAAGGTGAAGGATCAGGACAACTCGGAGGTCCACTTCAAAGTCCGGCAGACGACTAAATTTTCGAAGGTGCGCGCGCGAAACGAACGTCCTCACGCGCGCGCGTCGTCGATGTCCGCGCGCGAGCGCGTGCCTTCGCGGCCGCATCGCGTATTTAGACGACATCGCGTGCTTCCACCGCGCTCACGCTCGAATCCCGCGCGATTCACGACGCGATCGCGCGCTTGGACGAACCGAGGATCTCGCAGACGACGACCGAGCTCACGATCGCTCCTCGCTCCCTCCTCTCGACAGATCTTCGACGCGTTCTGCGCGCGCAAGTCTCTTCAACCGGACTCCGTGCGCTTCCTCTTCGACGGGCAGCGCGTGAACGCGAACATGACCCCGAAGGACGTGCGTGCCGCGCCCACCCCGTCTCCCTAGCTCCGCGACGTCGTCGATCGACGCTTCGTCGACGAACGCTTCACCAAAGGGTGCCAATATTACGAATTCGATCCCCCGCGCGCCCGCTGACCTCCCTTCCCCCGTCTCATCCACCGCAGCTGGACATGGAGGACGGCGATTCCCTCGACGCGATGATGGAGCAGGTCGGCGGATTCTAGAGGGTGAGACGACGAGACGGAGACGACGAGTGGGTGGAGGAGGCTCGGCGCCGGCTGCGCCTCGCGAGAAGTATGAGACCTATACAGCGGCAGACGACGAGAAGTACAGCTGTAAACGACGCACGAGAATATCATTCACTGAAACTCCGCCTCGTTCGTCCTCGCGTGCTTCGCCTGCCTCGCTCGGAAGACGTCCCCGACCGGCGGCGCGTTCGTCTTCATCGTGAGCGGCCCCGTCCCGCCGCCGCCGCCGCCGCCGCCGCCGTCGTCGTCTGCTTTCCTCTTCCCTCTCCCGCCCTCGCGGACGCCCCTGCTCGCGTTCAGCGCTTCCACGATCGCCGCGCCGCCGTCGGGGGTGAGATCGGACGTCATCAGCGTGTCCATCACCGCGGTCACGGTCGACGCCATCACGCGTCGGCTCCCCCCCTTGACGGTGTCGGGCGCGGGCAGTCTCGACGCGAACGCCGCGAGCTCGGTGGGGAGGTGCTCGAACCGATCGTCCGGGGGGCCGACCGCGACGGGCGGCGCGGGCAGCGGCGCGATCGCGTTCGGTTGCGCCGCCATGCTCCGCGGCTTCCCAGGCGGATGCGGCGGCGGAACTCCGGGCTTCGGCGGCGGCGGAGGCGGCGGCAGTCGCCCGATGCCCGAAGAAAACGCGTCGAATCTTTTCGGAATCGACGCGCCAATCTTCGCGTAGTGCTTCTTCTCCTCCGCCGTCGCGGGCTGCAACGACAGGAACGAATGCCGTCCCATGAGCGCCGTGATCGTCGCCGCGGCCGCGTGCGCCTCCTCGCGGTTGTCCCTAAACCCGAGCGCCTCCTCGCGCCTGCGCTCCGCGTCCGTCATGCTCGCCATCGTCCCGTGCGTCTGCTCGAACGCGACGAACATGTCGTGGACGTCCTTCACGACGGACATCCTCCGCGCCTTCTCCTGCGGGGAGAGCTTCACCGGGCCCGCGTCCGCGGCCGCGGTCGACGCCGAGGCGGTCGCGCGCTCGAACAGCACGCGCGCGTTCGCGACGTCGTTGCACCCGATCAAGAACTCCGCGTACTGGTTCACGAACGCGGGGACGTCGATGAAGTTTTTCAACCCGAGCTCGAAGATGTTCCTCGCCGGCTTGTCGTTCTTATCGTACCGCCACTCCAACCACGCCGCCGCGGCGAAGATCTCCCACCTGCTCCCGGGCGCTTTCCTCCCTCGCATGAACGCCTTCCGCGCCGCCTGCGTCCCCTCCATCCTCCGCGCGCATCGCATGTGCTCGATGTAGGTCAACAACGCGTCGTCGTCCATCGGCTCTCTCCGCGGCGGGACGATCGACGCGCCGTCCTCGGGGCCCACGCTCGTCCCACCCGCCGCCGATATCGCCGCCTGCGCCGTATTCGCCTCGTGCTCGTCCATGAACTCCTCGTACACCTCCCTCGCGGCCTCGACGTTCCCTCGCGACTCTTCCAAGTCCGCGGCGGCGAACCGGACGACGGCGCACGCGGGCACCGCGTCCCTCGCCCTCGCCAACACCGCGACCGCGTCGTCCGCCCTGCCTTCGCTCTGGTGCCACGCCGCGTACTCGAGCCACACGTCCGGATACCGCATCAGCGACATCGTCGCCTGATCGTACGTCAGCGACACTCGAGCGATGAGCTGCGGGTGCGCCGTCTCCCCTGACGCCGCGTCCGGCTCCAGACCTTGCGCGTTGGTCTTCTCGAAAGCGACGAGGTCGCGCCAGCGCCTCGCCTGGAAGCTCGGGGACTTCCTGTCCGTCGTGTTGTCGGGGACGGAGCCCGGCGCGCCCGCGAGCCCGCCCACGAGGATTGGGTCGTGCAGCTTTTTCCTCTGCTTCAAAACCCCGCGCGCGACGTCGACGCGAGGTTTCACGTCGGCGAGCGTCATCTTCGCGAGCGTCGGCGAGTTCGCGTGCTCGAACGCGTCGTACTCGCGGTACAGCGCGTCGATGCTGTTCGTCGGCACGCTCAGCGCTCTTTGATACGCGCGTCGGAGCTGCTGCGTCTTGGCGGACTGCGCGTGCGCGTCGACGTCGGCGTGCTCGGGCGCGAGGTGCGCCGCGTCGGCATCCTTCAAGAACGAGACGTAATCCAGCCACAGCGGTCCAGCCTCGATGTCCTCGCCGACGCGCTCGACGGTGTACTCGTACGCCGCCTTGATGGCCTGCGCGCCCACCGCGGTGGACGCGTCGTTCGCCTTGCGCATGTACTTGGTGTACGACCGCCACAACGCCGCGGAGGGGCAAACGAGGAGGCATCGGGAGAAGAGCGCCTTGATGTGTTCGTCGTCTCTCGCGCCGGTTGAGGCGTCGCCCGCGATCTCCGCCTCCGCGTACGTGCGCCACACGCGCGACGCGGTCGGGTGCGACGCGAGGACTTCCTCGAAGAGTGATCGTCCGTCCGGGACGCCGTGCGTCTGCGCCTCCGCGATGACGATCTCCCACGCGTCGAGTTCGTGCGGATTCGCGCGCAGCTTCCCGCGCGCGCGATCGAGCTTCGCGGACGTGATCGTCTTCGGCGGCGCCCGCGGCGGCGGCGCCGCGGGCTCCGCGTCCGTCTCCTCCGCCGGCGCGGCGGCGGGGTCCGCCCCGTCGGTCTCCTCCGCGGAAGGGGGGTCCGCGGCGTCCGCGACGGTCGGCGCGGGGGGATCGGCGTCGTCCGTCGCGGGCGCGGGATCGCTCGCGTCGGCGTCGGCGTCGGCGTCGGCGTCGTCGTCGTCGTCGTCGTCGTCGTCGTCGTCGCGCGCGTCCGCCCCCGCGTCGGGCTCGGTCGCGGGCGCGTCCTCCGCGTCGGCGTCCTCCTCCTCCGCGGCGGCATCGGCCTCGGCCGCGGCCCCGGCCTCGGCCTCGGCCTCCGGCGCGCGCGCGTCCTCCTCCGCGGCGGCGGGCGCGTCCTCGCGCTTCGCGTCGTCGTCGCCGTCGCCCCCGCCGCGCGTCGCCTCGAGCCTCGCGACGAGCGCGTCCTTGTTCCCGTCCGTGCTCAGCCCGCGCTCCGCGAGCAGATCGCGCAGCTCGCCCACCTTGAGCCTCTTCAGGAGCCGGGGCTCGATGAGCTCCTCCATGCTCGCGACGTCGGTCCCGCGCGGTCGACGATTGGCGCGGCGCGCGGACGATTCATCGAACATTTTCGAGTAGTCGCCTGATAATAAGTTGAATCTACTACCTGTATTTCAACGCTCATCAAGCCGCGCCGGCGCTACTGCCCGCTCGACAACACGACGCCGCCGCCTCTCGCCGCCGCGCGCTCGAACCTCGCCCCGTCCCCGTCCTCGGTCATGTCCGACAGCTCCACGAAATTCCTCCCCGACCCTCCGCCTCTCCGCTCCCGGTACCTATTCGCCTCCAACGCGATCGTCGCCGCGACGCACGCGACGACCCACGCCGCGTAGGCGCCCCCCGCGACGTTCGCGCCGCGCGCCGCGCCCCTCTCCTTCGCCTCGTCCAGCCCGGTCACGATCGCGGCGAACGCGAACGACAAACTCCCGACCCCGGTGATCCGGTGCGTCCACTCCCACCGCTTCCGCGGCGTCGACGTCGCCGCGTCGGGCGCGTCGGGTTTATCCGCGCGAAGAAACGCGTTCAACGGCTGCGACGCGCCCGCGAGCAACGTCGCGACGCCGTAATACGCGTGCGCGCACCCCATGTGCCCCGCGTCCTCGTCCTCCACGGCGCTGTACGACAGCATCGCGCCGACGAACGCGAAGAACAGCCCGATCGAGACGAGCGCGCGGTGGATGGAAAACCACGAGTCGCGAATCGCGCCAAGCAATTCGCGCTTCGACGGCGGCGCGTCGCGCGGCGCCTTGGCGTACCGCGCGACGTACGCCCCCGCGGGCACGAGGATCGCCCACGCGATGCACGCGCACCACCCGTGCGCGGTGAACTTTGTGCCGAGCGCCTCCGCGCGCTCGTCGCACTTCGATCTCGCGTCGAGCGCGGCCTGGTCCGCGGGCGACAGCGGCGGCGCGGGCGGCGGATACGACGGCCGCGACGACGGCGCCTAGTCGGGGTGGAGTTGAAAGGCGTCAGGTGGAGTTGAAAGGCGCCGAGGGCGGGGATTGAAAGCGAGGGATGAGCGGAGAGATGCGCCGGGCAAAGTCCTTAAGGATCGGCGTTCACCACGGCGACGGGGTCGTATGGGGACCGGTGTAACCAGAACGCGCCGAGGGCGGGGATTGAAAGCGAAGGATGAGCGGAGAGATGCGCCGGGCAAAATCCTTAAGGATCGGCGTTCACCACGGCGACGGGGTCGTATGGGGACCGGTGTAACCAGAACGCACCTCCGGCGCCGCGCCGCCGACGCTCAACGCGCCGTTCGCGACGAGCGTGACGGCGTTCGTTCTGAACCCGCCGTCGTGGTGCGCCGCGGTCGTCACCTTGAACTCGACCGCGTCGCCGTCGACCGCGACGGCGGGCGCGTTCCACACGAACAGCGCGATGGACCAGTCGCCTCTGAGGTCGTACCGCGCGCCGGAGCATCGCGCGCCGACGCCGGAGCCCGCGTTGCGATCGCCGAGGTCGACGAACGCGCCCGCGGTGGCGGTGAGCAGGATCTCGCCCTCGCACGGGGTCGTCACGATGAGCGTGTGGCGGCCGCCGGGTTTGAACTCCGCGGAGTGGATGTGCCACGACTGCGGAGGAGGACGGAGGGACGCGGACGGGTCAGGTTGTGGGACGCGCGCGTGAAGAGTGACGACGGGAAAAGTCCTTAAGGAACGGCGTGCACCACGCGAACGGGGTCGTATGGGAAGCAGTCTCACCGCGGGGACGGACGGATGGAGGGATGGGTGGATGTTCGTCGCGCGGGCGGGGGACGACGACGCGCGCGCACCGCGGGGATGACCCTTCCGCCGTCGAGCTCGTTCGCCTGCGCCGTGTCGCTCCCGTCCGCGGCGGCCCACGCCAGCTGGAACGATATCGACGGGTCCGTGAGCGGCGCCGCGTGCGCCGCCCTCGCGGTGCTCGGATGCGCGTCCGCGCCGCACCTGTCGCGATCGACGAGATTCGGGTGCGCGCGCGTCGCGGCGGGGCGAGACGCGAAGAGCGCGAGGAGAAGCGCGAGCGACGTCGCGAATCCCGACGCGCGGCGGCGGCGGAGACGACGACGCGCGGACGTCGTCGCCATCGCGCTCGGGCGCGACGTCGGCGTCGGTCGGCGGCGTGCGCCCGTAAAGTGTTGATGAGTCCCCTCTGCGGATGACGGCCGATCAGGTGCCGATCGGTACGAAAATGTTCATACAGTAGGTTAGTTGAAAGGTGACACGATCAAATGTTGAAACCGGGCGATGGGTGAAAAACGTTTGTTGAACGCGCGTGAGTGCTCGCTCGCGTTTTCGCGCACCGCGTTCGCCACGTCATCGCACGATGTCGGCACACGAGATGATACTATGACGCGCATCACGCCCGCCGCGACGGCGGCCGCCGCGACGAGCGCGCGTCCGCGATGCCGTCGAAACGTCGGGACGACTCGCGTCGTCGCCGCGCGCGCCGCGCGCGCCGTCGCGGCGTCCCCGCGCGCGGCGTCTTCTCCCCGCGCCGTCGTCGGCGTCGGATCCTCGAACCGACGCGCGAAGAGGCGACCGATCAGAGGGACGACGACGACGCGCGCGTCGAGGGGCGACGCGCCCGCGGACGCGACGGCCGCCGCGCGCGCGCGCCTCGACGCGATCCAGGCCGAGGACGAGATCGACGTGGAGGACCCCGGCGAGCGCGGCGGGTTCGACATCTTCAGCGGCGGCGTCTTCACCGGCGAGGTCCTCGCGTACTGGGAGGCGTCGAACGCGTTCTTCTTCCCTCGGCTGCTCCTCGTCGCGGGCACCGCGCTCGGGCTCGCGGCGTCCATCCCGCAGTCGCTCGGCGGCGTGTTCCGCCAAGACGACGACGCGCTGCGAGTGCTGGGCGCGAACGTGGTGTTCTTCGTCCTCGCCGCCGCGCTCGCGGCGGCGGACCTGCGGCGGAGGAAGACGGCGCTCGATCGCCTGCAGCGCGAGCTCGCGCTGGGGGACATGCAGGTGATACAGCGCGATAAGTTTCGTAACGAGCGCGTGTTCCCGCTGCAGAGCTTGAGGCAGGCGGCGCGCGTCGCGGTCGTGTACGGCGACGCGGAAAAAGTCGCGAAGGACCTCGCGGCGGCGACGCCGTACCGGCGGCGGTTGGAGCAGTCGAGGATTCTCGTCGTCCCGGTCGTGGACCGAGGTGATAAGAGAGGCCAAGGCGCGTCGTCCGACGCGGTCGCGGACGTCGGCCCCGGGCGGTGGGAGCTGCTGAAGGACGTGGTCGTGGCGTGGCCCGGCGCCGGCGCCGGGCGGTGGCTCGCGTGGCCGACGAAGAACGACGCGTGGGCGGGATACTTCCGCCGGCTTTTACTCAGCGCGGGCGCGAAGAACGCGGCGGGGGGGTACGTCACCGTCGGCGTCAACGGGCAGGTGCGAGGCAGCGGCAGCGGGAGCCCGTCGTGGGACGTGCTCCTGAGCACGTTTCCGAGGAACCGTCCGGGGAACAAGGCGGACGCCGCCGCGGAGGCGGCGTGGAGGAGCGCGACCGTGGACTACCAGGGCGATTTATCCGTGAACGACCCCGCGATGAAAGACATCAGAGGCGACGGCGCCGCGCGACCGATCGGCACGACGTTGGAGCTCCCGAGCGACGGCCCCGCGAGGGAGGTTCTGAAAGTCCACGACGCGTTCTACGACGCGCTGAGCCGCGGCGACGAGGCCGCGATGGCGGCGGCATGGAGAGGAGGAGAACGCAAAAAACCGTCGCCGCTGGAGCGTTTCATCGAGCGCGGGGCCGTCCTCGACGGGTGGGCGACGGTGCTTCGACCGGACCGTCGACCGGAGGGACTGAAGCTGTCCGACGTCGACGTCACGATCGAGAGGGACGTCGCGACGGTGTCCGTGCTGGAGAGCGTCGGGAACGGCGCGACGCTGCTGGCGACGCAGACGTACGATAAGACAGACTCGGATGAGGGCGCGGGGTGGACGCTGAGGTCGCACTACACGATTCCGTACGGGAAGGACACGGTGGCGAAGATCGCGTTGCGGTGCGACGAGAGGGGGTGCGTCGCGGTGCCCGCGAAGGCGGTCGCGTCCGAGCCGCCGAGGTAGGCGATGCGCGACGAACGAACGCGTCGTCTGGAAGAGAACTCGAATAATGAAGACTAATGTACCGTTAATAAGACTACTACGAAAGGCTACGACGTGCGAACGAACGCTACGCTCAGATCTCGTCGTTCAATATCTTCTCCCGGATGTCCCCCATGAGCCACCCCATGTAGTGCAAGTTGTGCGACGTCGCCAGCTCCTGCGCCATCGGCTCGTTCGCCTTATCTAAGTGGTGCAGGTACGCCCTCGTGTGCGACGTGCACAGCCGACACGGGCACAGCGCGCACGGCGGCTCGAACATCTCCGCGTTCTCCCGTCTCCGAATGTTCACCCGCCCGTGCGTGCGCGTGAGCAGCGTCCCGTGCCGCGCCGCGCGCGTCGGAAACGTGCTGTCAAACGTGTCGGCGCCGTGCGGCACCCCGGCGCGTATGGACGTCTCGTCGCCGATGCCGAGCACATGCGTCGGTCGATCCCTCGGGAGCAACGGCATCACGTACGCCATGAGCTCGCCGAACTCGGTAGGGTCTTTGCCGAGGCTCCCGCCGATCGCGAACCCGTCGAACGGGAGCGAGGATAAGTACTCCGCGCTGAGTTTCCGCAACGCCGCGTCGACGCCGCCGTGGACGACGGCGTACATCGCCTGCCGCCGCACGTCCTCCAGGTGCGTCCTCAGGCTCCTCGCCTCCCACCGGTGACTCAGATACACGCTCCGCCGCAGCGTCTCGTCGTCGATGTGATACGGCGGGAGTTCGTCCAGCGGGATGATGATGTCCGCGCCGAGCTTCTTCTGCGCGAGCACCGCGCTCTCCGGCGTGAGCTCGACTTTTTTCCCGTCCCTGTACGACTTGAACACGACGCCCTCTTCGTTTACTCTCAGGAGCAGCCCTTCCTCGCTCTTGTGCTTGCTCGGCCGCCGTGATTTCATCTCCGGTCCTTCCCCTTGCGACGTGTTTCCCAAGGAGAAGACCTGGAACCCGCCGCTGTCCGTGATGATCGGCGCGTCGCGGCCGATGAACGCGTGGAGGCCTCCGGCGTTTACGACGAGGTCCGCGCCGGGCTGCAGCATGAGGTGGTACGTGTTGCTGAACATGAGCTGCAAGTTGGCGGCTTGGAGCTCCTGGTGCGGGACCGCTTTCAGGGCGCCCATGGTGCCGACTGCGACGAACCCCGGGGTGTCGATGACCCCGTGCGGGGTGTGAATCCGCCCCACGCGCGCGTTCGATTTCTTCGACTGATGGATCAGCTCGTACCGGAAGAAGTCGCGCGGCGCGTACGGCGGGAACTCCGACGCCGGCGGCGGCGGCGTCAGCGGGTCGATCTTCGGCACCTGCGGCTTCCCCGACCGCGACCGCTTCTTCTTCGCCGGCGCCGCGCCCGCGGCCGCGGACGCGCCCGCGGCGTCGTTCTCGTCCACCGCCGCCGTCGCGTGTCCTCTCGACGCCGCGCCCGCCATCCCGTCGTCGATCAGCTTGACGAGCGCGCGCGTGGACTCGATCAGCGCCCGCGGTCGCTTCGCCGCCTCCCTGCCGCCTTTCGCGGCGGCGCTCATCCCGACGACGCGCGGTGCACGCGCCCTCCGTGCTCGGTGCGGCGCCGCAATGAAATTCCACGCGCTGAAGCTGGCGGCTGGAAAACGTAAACGTGTCGGTGCACTCGCACTCATCATCTTACACGGCTACGGTCGTTGACTACGCGCGCTCTACCACTCGCCGGTGTTCTCCATCGAGCTCCACGGCTCCGCGGGCTCTAACGGCACCCCTTTCTGCAGAAGCTCCACGGAGATCCCGTCCGGGGACTTCACGAACGCCATCTTCCCGTCGCGCGGTGGCCTGTGGATCACGTGGCCCGCGGCTCGCAGCTTCTCGCACAACCCGTAGATGTCGTCCGTCGCGAACGCGAGGTGACCCATGCTCCTCGACGGCGGGGCGAACTCCTCGCCGCCCCAGTTGTACGTCAGCTCGATCTCGGGCGCGCCTGGGATGGAGTGGGGTGGGGTGGGGTGGGAGGTGTAGGGTGGGCGGCGGGGTCAGCGGGCGTCGCGAACGCGGGGTGCCAGAATGCCGAACGACGCTGGATGCGATAATGCCCACTCCTCGGGCGCTCCTCTCGGGGGCACGTACCCGGAGCGGACGCCATGAACACGAGCGTGAACTTCCCCTTCTCACTCTCCTTCCTCCGCGTCTCCATCAACCCCAGCGCGGAGAAGAACGCCATCGTCGCGTCCAGGTCGTTCACGCGGAGCATCGTGTGCAGAAACGTGAGATCGCCGTCCTTCGGAAGCGAGTTGTACGTGTCCGCGGGGAGGTAGCTGCTGACGCTCTTGCTCGCGGTCGCCATGACCCTGGTCGTTCGCGCGGTGTTGGGGGCGAGGAAACGGCGATGTGCGAGCGTCGTCGGTGCGAGTCGGCACGGGGCGGACATGTGCGAAGCGTTGTGACGGGCGCCGGGCGGATCGGAGCCCGTCGGTCGCCCTCGTCGATGACGCGTCACCGCCGCTCTCGCGGATCGTCAGCACTGCAGTGCAAGTTTTACGTTCGTTTGAATACGCGCGCTCGAGCTGTCCCCGCCACAGTCGTCCGCGCTCCGCACGCCGAGCACGCGAACCGCGATACGCGCGCGTCCGCGTCGTATTCACTTCGCACGCACGCGCCAGCGCCCGTGCGCGCCCTCCGCCTCGTCCTTCGAGTCGAGCAGCGCACGTCGACGCGCGACCCTCGGCGAGTAAATCGTCGTTCGCACGCGTCGACGCGTTCGTCGTCGCCGAAGAAGCTTCTAGTCGCGACATGACGGACATGATGGAGGCGCCGATGGAGGCGCCGCAGATGGAAGGCGACATGCAGGAATGGCAGGAAGGGATGGAGGCCGCGGGGCCGCTCCCCCTGCAGACGCTCGAGGTTCGTGCACGCGCGCGCCCACGTCCAACGCGGCACCCGTCGAATCTGTCCCCCCCGCGAATGCCAAAGGATCTCACGCGCCCTCTTCCCTCGCACAGGAGCACGGCATCGCGGCGTCGGACTTGAAGAAGCTTCTCGAGGCGGGCATCCACACCGTGGAAGGACTCGCGCACGCGCCGAAGAAGCAGCTGAAGGACATCAAAGGCCTGAGCGAGATGAAGGTCGAGAAGCTGAAGGCTGCGGGTGCGATTTCAACTTGGCAACCCTCCGTCACGCGGAGAGCCCTCGAAAACCAAATCTCGACTCGACGCTCACCACCTGAAAATCCCTCTCCCATCCTTCCGAGCAGCGATGAAAGTCGTTCCCCTCGGGTTCACGACCGCGTCCATGGTCCAGGCCGTGCGCGAGAGCACGATCATGATCTCCACGGGGTCGTCCAAGCTCGACGAGCTCCTCGGCGGCGGGTTCGAGTCTGGCTCGCTCACGGAAATTTACGGCGAGTTTCGCACGGGTAAGACGCAGCTGTGCCACACGCTCGCGGTGACGTGCCAGCTCCCGCTCGCGCAGGGCGGCGCGGAAGGCAAGGCGATGTACATCGACACGGAAGGGACGTTTCGACCGCAGCGTCTCATCGCGATCGCGGAGCGGTTTGGGATGGACTCCGCCGCCGTTCTCGACAACGTCGCGTACGCCAAGGCGCACAACTGCGAGCACCAGTCCGAGCTCCTCGTCGCCGCCGCGGGGATGATGGCGGAGGCTCGTTTCGGGGTGATCATCGTCGACTCCGTGACGAACTTGTACAGGACGGAGTACGAAGGGCGAGGGGAGCTCTCCGCGCGGCAGATGCACCTCGGGAAGTTTTTGCGGCAGCTCGCGCGTCTCGCGGACGAGTTCGGCGTCGCCGTCGTCGTGACGAACCAGGTCGTGGCGAACCCGGACGGGAACGCGATGTTCGCGGGCGCGAACGCGATGAAGCCCATCGGCGGGAACATCATGGCGCACGCGTCCACGACGCGACTGGCGCTGAGGAAGGGGAGGGGGGAGAACCGGATCGCGAAGATCGCGTGCTCGCCCGTGCTCCCGGAGAGCGAGGCGCAGTTTTCTCGGAGATGGGCATCGAGGACGCGAAGGATTAAAAGGTTGGGGGGTACGCGGGGGATGGGACGCGACGACGAACGGGGCAGCGACGCGACGACACTTCGAGCGCGAGCACGCGCGAAGGCGATGACCGCCGGCGTCGTCTCCACGACGCCGCCGGCGCTCAGATCGGTCGTCGAGGAAAAGACGGACGAAAACAACGAAAACCGACCTACTCACGCTCGTAGGTAAATATTGAACGAACGCGAACGACACGCTACGCGCGCGCACGCCGCCCACGCGCGCGCCTACCTCGGGATCGTCGCGCTGTAGTACGCTATCCCCGCGGCGATCACCGACGCCGCGACGGTGATGAAAGGGTTCTGCGGCAGCCGCACGCTCGGCGTGAACTCCCCGCCGTACTCCTCCTCGAGGCTCTTCTCTCTCTTTCCTCCCCCGCCAGACTTCTTCCCCCCCCCGGTGCTCGCCCACTTATCGCTGTACGCGTACGCGTCCCTCAGAACCGGCACGTCCACCTTCTCGTCCTCGCCGATGTCCATCTTCGGCGCCTCTAAGATGTACTTGAGCTCCTCCGCCTGCCGCTTCACGATGCCCTCCGGATGCGTCGCCGCGAGCCACGCGTAGAGTTCGATCGCGTCCTCCGTCTTCCCGCTCGCGTCCAACCCCAGGCACTTCTGTATCAGTATCCGTCCTCCGAGCAGCGTCTTCTCCTCCGTCTCCTCGAGCGCGGTGTCGCACCACCGCACGCAGTCGACATACAAGCCCTTCGAGTACGCGTACTCGGCTTTCTTATGCAGACGCGACGCCTCGAGCGTGAACCCGCGCATGCGCTGCGCGTTCTCCTCGAGCTTCGCGCGCACCTTGTCGCTGTACGCCCTCTGCGCTGGGGACAAGTCGTCGAGCGATTCGACCCCGAGCGCTTTCGCGATGACCTCGGACGGGTCGAGATCGTTCTCGATGGCTTCCGCGTATTGCTTCGTCGCGCGCAGCACCGCGAGGTTGTTCGCCCCGAACGGGACGAGGTCCCTCGTCTCCTCCGCGGAACCCCGCACGACGGACGCGCCGCCCAGGATGCTGTCGCCGAACGCCTGCGTCTCGTCGGTCGCGGCGTACTGCGCGCGCACGAGGTCTTCGGGGGATAAGACGGGCGTCTCCGACGACGTCTCCGTCGACGACGACGACGACGACGACGACGCGTCGGCGTCGGCGGCCGCGGCGAGGCGCGCGGCGCGCGCGGCGCGATGACGGCGGGACGGCAGCGCGCGGGGGGCGGCGCGCGCGCACGGCGCGGCGCGGTTGAGCGCGATCATCGACGCGGTGGGAGGGTGGTGCCCCCCGCCGCGGGCGCCGGTTGGAATGACTGACGATCGCGATCGTGGACGTCGCGTATCGTTGCCAACTGGACGCACATCGAGAAATCCTACTGGCCGAGCCCACGAGGCCGCCGGGCTACCTATCGTCGTCGACCCTCCGCCTACGTCGCCGCCGAAACCGCCGCGCTCGACGGAGGGACGACCCCCGACAGCGCCTCCGCGGCGAAATCCCCGCACACGCGCGCCATCCCTCGCAGCGCGTCCATCTCCCTGAACGCCTTCTCGAGCCCCATCGACACGATCACGGGTTTGTCCACTCCCGCGCCTCGCACCACCTGCACGACGCGGCTCGCGACCGCCTGCACGAGCTCGTCGTCCTTCCGTCCGCCGCCGCTCAGCGCGCGGAGTTTCGGGGCGTAGTGTCCGGGGAGGTTTCCGCCGTCGCCGCCGCCTCGCTCGACGCTCCCGCCCGCGGCGTGGAACACGAGCCCGAGCTTCGCGACCTGCGTCACGACGACGAGCGCGCGGTCGTCGTAGTCCGTCACGAGGCACTCGGTGTGGACGCCCTCGATGATCCACGCGCGCTGGGACGTTCGCACCGCGCGTTGGGGAGGGCGCGCGGGCGGCGTCGACGTCGTCGTCATCGCGCGTCGAGGAGTGCGAGACGGGGAAGACGCGGGGGGGGGGGGCGATGTCATCCTGTCGCTGTCGTCGGTCGGTTGGATTTTCTGTTCGCTTTCTTTTCGCGCGCGATTACGATTCTCCCGCACACAATCCGACGCGCCTGCCTCGGCCGCCACACGTTCCGCGCGTCGTCGTGCCTCGCGGCGTCGACGAGATGCCTCGCTTCGGACACAAGATGGTCGCGGCCGACGCGAGAGAGGAGATGACCGCGTACGAGGCGGAGCGCGCGGCGAGGATCGAAGCGAACAAGGCGCGCATGCGCGATCTCGGGATACTCGACGCGACCGCGCGCCTGCGCGCGACGGACGCCGCGGCCGCCGCCCGACGCGCGGCGGTTCGCGCGGCGAGAACCCCGAAGGGCTCCGACGCGGACGGGAACCCCGCGTATCGCGTCGCGGATCGCGCAGCAAAGCCGGCGGTCGCGACGCGACGCAGCGGCCGCCTCAGCGGCGCGTCCCCGGACGACGCCGCGACGACGACGCGCACGACGGATCGCGACGACGACGTCGACAGGAACCCGGAGACGTACTCCCCGGCGCAGGTCGCCGCGCTCGGGAGCGCGACGAAGACGTGGACGCTGTTCGTGGACGGGTACGACGCGAACGGGAACCGCATCTACGACAGCGCTATCGGCGCGACGTGCCATCAGGTGCGTTCTATACACTGGTCCCCATACGACGGCGTTGGCGTGGTGAATGCCGATCCTTAAGGACTTTTCCCGGCGATTCTCTCCGCTCATCCCTCCCTTTCAACGCCCGCCCACGACGCCTTTCAACTCCATCTGACGCCTATGAACTCCACCCCGACATCGCTTTGTATGGAACGACCCTCAGTGCCGCCAGAAGACGGTCTGCGCGCACACGAGCTGCGGCGGGTGCGGGGAACTCCGAGGGCAGTTTTGCGGCGACTGCCTGTGGATGCGTTACGGCGAGCACGTGGACGAAGCGAACGCGCTGGGGGCGAAGTGGCGGTGCCCTCCCTGCCGCGACCTGTGCAACTGCAGCTTCTGCAGGCAGCGGAAGGGCTGGCCGCCGACCGGAACGCTGTACCGCCGCGCGATCAAAGAGGGATACGCGTCGGTGGCGCACTACCTCGTCCTGAACAACCGCGCTGATGAGGACGTCGACGTAAAGACGCGCGGCGGCGCCGAGGAGGAGGGCGCCGCGGACGCCGCGGACGCCGCCGCGAGGGACGGACGGTCGCCGAGCGGGGACGATAACGCGCGCGAGAGCGGCGACGTCGACGCTGTCGACGCTGTCGCGGTCGACGCGCCCCCCGCGGCGCCCGTCACGCCCACCGCGTCGGGACCCGCGAAGGACGACGACGACGAATTTTACGACGCGAAGACGCGCCCGTCTCGGATGATCGTGAAGGTCGTTCGGAAGATGGCGGACGCGGTGACGAATCCGACGGCGACGAAGCGGCGAAGGGCGATGTCCGAGAGATGACGTGGTGATCGACGACGGCGACGGCGACGGCGACGGCGACGGAGCGCGAGCGCGCGAGGACAGAACGGATGCGGTGCTGTAGTCTATTTTCTTTCAGAGTTTTTTTTCTTTCTCACGCCCTCCTCGCGCCTCCTTTCCTTCCTCCGTCAGAACACCTCCCCCCCCGCGTCCTCGTACGCCGACCGCAACGCCTCCGGGACGAGGTCGCCGATCGTCAGCAGCGCGAACGGCGGCGACGGCGCGTCCACGGCGTCGACCCACTCCTCCGCGGTGAACGTCATCCTCGCGAGCGTCTTCAAAAACTCTCCGTTCGCGTCCACGACGTCGCGCGTCGGGCCCCTCGCGACGGTCACCCAGTGCGTCCCAACCCCCGGGGGGCCGCCGCCGCCGCCGCCGACCGACGCGCCCAGCGGCTGGACGATGAACCGCCAGTCCGGTTTCGGTTCGCCGTCGAGCGTCAGCGTCGCCGAGATCCGATGATGATGATGATGATGATGATGATGATGATGATGATGATGATGATGAATCGTGAACTCCGCCCTTCGCAGATCGAGCGCGAGGCCGACGCCCATGGCCTTCACCAGCGCCTCCTTCAGGCTCCACAGCTGTCTGAACACCGTCTCTCTCTCGTCGTCCGTCGCGCCGCCCGCGCGCACGGCGTCCTTCTCCCTCTCGGTAAAGACGGAGGAAAACGTGCGGAGCATCTCTTCCGCGGTGGGCGTCCGCCCGTCCTTCCCGCGCCTCCGCGCCTGCCCGGGCGCGGCGACGTCGACGCCGACGACGACGTCCGGCTCGCTCGCGAGGACGACGAAGTCGCCCTCGTGCGAGACGTTGAAGTTGAAGTTCCGCGCGTCGGGCATCGTCGGAACCGTCGGAACCGTCGTCGTGTTCGTCGTCGTCGCGCCATCCCCTCTCGCGGGCGCCTCGCGGGAGAGGAACGGTTTCCTTCCCTTCGTGCGCTTGATCGTCACGTCCGCGTGCGGGACCCCCGTCACGCGATGGCACACCATGCGCTGAAGCAGGCGGCTCGCGATCGCGCGCTTCTTGTCCGCCATGTGCACCATCTTCACGACGTCCGCGCGCTCGTTCGGCGGGAGGAGGTCGAGGAGGAATCGAAACTCGTCGCCGTCGTGGTCGTCGCGCGGCGTCCAGCGCGTCGTGTTCACCGCCCATCGAAGACGCGCGCGGTGCTCGCCCGCCGCGGTCGACGTCGACGCCTCCGCGGCGGCGGCGTCGCGCGCGGGAGGCGGCGCGACCATCCGGACGACACGACGACGCGCGCCGGCGCGGCGCGCTCGCGCGTGACGACGCGGACGCGACGTCGCGTCGGGAGGTCGCGTCAGGTCGCGTCGACGACAGGAAAAGAAAATAACGCCCGCCCGCTCGCTCCAATCTCGGACGGACCCGCTCGCCTCCTCCGAGGGAGCGCGCGGGGCCGCCGCGCGACGGCGACGCCGCGGCGCGCGCCTCCCCCGTCGCGACGCGTCGCACTCTTCCGCGCGCCGCCGCCGCGCTCGATCGCGCTCGATCGCTCCCTCGCCGACGACGGCATGGAGACGGTCGCGACGCGGCTCGAGAGCTGGGACGACCTCGCGGGACTCGCGGACGACGACGACGACGGCGACGACAAGCGAAGGACGTCGCTTCTCTTCGGCGCGCGCGCTCGAGGCCGCGCGTCGTCGCGCGCGGCCGCGGCGCGCGGCCGCGGCGCGCTCGCGCTCGTCCTCGGGCTCGCGATCGGCGCGACGATCGCGACGCTGTGCGGCGCGCGGATCCGCGCGAGCGCGGCGACCGCGTCGTCGTCGTCGTCGTCGCCGCCGTCGTCGCCGTCGTCGTCGTCGTCGTCGTCGTCGCGACTTCTCGCGCTCGCGCGCGACGCGCTCGCGCCGTCGCCGTCCGCGCCGTCGCCGTCCGCGCGCGTCGCCGCGCTCGAGGCCGCGCTCGAGGTCGCGCGCGACCGCGAGCGCGCGCTGTGGGCGCTGACGGAGACGATCGAGCGCGACGCCGCGCGCGTGGCGTCGCTCGTGACGCGGCAGGCGCGCGTCCCTCGTGGACTTTCTAATACATTTCTCTCCCGGCGCGGCGCGCGTTTCTCTCCGCCCGTCGCGTCGCTCGGCTTCAATCCACGACCGCGACGCCTCACGACGCCGGCCGACTGACGCGCCCCCGACGTCGCGTCGCCTCGCGCGGACCCTCGACCATCAGACGTGCGACGCGGAGACGCTCGCGCCGCTGTGCGCGGCGGCGGGCGCGGACGACCCGGCTCGGAACATCCCGCCGCGGATTCGCGCGCGGACGACGGACCTGCGTCCCAGGAGGCTGGAGGGCTCTCCCGCGGACGACGCGCCGATAGCGCGTAATCTCCTCGCGCTCACCGTGGGCGTCAAGCAGAAAGACGTCGTCGACGCGCTCGTTCGGACGTTTCTCTCCTCCGCGTCGACGTCGGACGCGGCGTCGTCGTCAGATCCGGCGTCGGACGCGTTCTCCGTGATCTTGTTCCACTACGACGGCGAGGTGGACGCGTGGCGCACGCTGCCGTGGAGCGACGACGTCGTCCACGTCTCCGTGTCGAAGCAATCCAAGTGGTGGTACGCCAAGCGGTTCTTGCACCCCGACGTCGTGCGGCCGTACGACCACGTGTTCTTGTGGGACGAGGACATCGACGCGCGCGACTCGAAATTCGACCCGAGAGAGTACCTCCGCATCGTGCGCGAGAACGGTCTGCACATATCCCAGCCCGCGATCGTCGCCGGGAACGGCGCGTGGCCCATCACGCGCGTCGTGCGCCGCGAGAACGAGACCACCGGCGGCGAGCCGCTCGGCGAGTTCCACCGCCTCGGCGCGGATTGGAACGGGAATCGGTGCGTCGACGACGACGGAAATCCGACGACGCGGCCGCCGTGCGCGGCGTACGTCGAGATCATGGTATACAAAAGTTTTTCACCCATCGCCCGGTTTCAACACTTGATCGCATCCCCTTTCAACTGACCGGAGAACTGTTTTTGTATGGAATGGCCCTCAGGTGCCCGTGTTCACTCGACGCGCGTGGCGATGCGTGTGGGAGATGATCCAGAACGATCTCTCGCACGGCTGGGGGCTGGATCTGACGTGGCAGCTCTGCGCGGCGGACGATACGAAGAACGCGACGGCGGTGGACGGGATGGGCGTGGTGGACGCGCAGGGGATCACGCACCTGGGGGCGCCGACGTTGACGGAGCAAGGGGTGGACGGCGCGCACATCGCGGGGACTACCGCGGTGAGTCGACGACGGATCGCGGAGTGGAGCGCGTATAATCGGCGGTGGAGGACGCCGGACTTGCGGGAGAAATACTTATACCTCGCGGAGGAGAAGAGTGAGAAGGAGGAGAAGGAAGACGATGACGGAAAGGACGACGGAAAGGACGAGGGCGGGGACGACGCGGACGCGACGAACGAGACCGACGCGACGTCGTAGAGCGCGCGACGCCGCGGCGCGAGTCGCGCGGTGGGTGGTCGCGTTTCGTGCTCATATACAGTACTTCTCGCGCGCGATGCACAGCCTCACCGCGCGTCGGGCATCGAATTTACACGCCGAAAAACCAACCCCTATCCAGTCGGTCAGAACATCTTGCTCATGTCCCAACTCGCGTCATCCGCGTCCTTCTTCGGGGCGGTCGACGTAGACTCCTGACGGTTCCACTTCCTCCCCGCCTGACCCTGACCCCCCTGTTGCGCTGGCGCCTGCGCCATGAACTTTTGAAACTGCTGCATCATCAGCGGCGTCGCTTCGTTCGACTTTCCCTTTTCGACGTCGCCCCCCTTGCCCTCTCTCGCGCCGTAACAGCACCACCCTCGCGCGCGGCAGCAGCAGCACAGCGCGCAACAGCACACCGCGAGGACGCCGACGATCATGAGCACCACCAGCGCCAGCGACGCGTACCACGGCGACGACGTGAAGTCGTACTCGGCGCACCCGGCGAGCTCGTCGTTCTTCGGCGCGCGCCTCTCGCAAATTTTGTACTTGATCGCCTCGCCGACGTCCTTCGCGCACTCGATCGCGTCGCACACCGCGACGTCGTCGATCAGCGCCCACGGCTGGAACTTGTACGTCGGTCGGATCGCGTTCAGCGCGTCCGCGTTGTTCTGCGTCTTGACGTACCCCAGCCCGGTGTCGAGGCACGAGCTCAGCGTGGTGCACGACGCCGCCGTCGCGCGTTTGGTCTGCACGACGGCGTCGCAGCACAACCCAGAGACGGACGCCACGCGCGCCGTCATGTTCACCGCCGCGTTGGCGACCGCGGACTCGGACTGCTCGAGCTTGAGCAAGAACGCGGAGACGCACTGGACGTACATCGCCGCGGGCGTCGCCGGATCCGGTTTCCAGGCGCTCTCCGTCCCCGCGGCGCCGCCGCTCGACGACTCCGCCGTCGACGTCGCCGCCGCCGCGAGCGCGACGTCCGCGGACGTGTCCTCGAGAACCTCCGCCGCCTCCTCCGCGGTCAGCGCCGCGCCGTTGGCGTCCGTGTACCCGGTGATCGCGCCGGACACGGGGTCCGTGATCAAGTTCACCGCGTCCGTGTCGGCCGCGGTCAACATCGCGCCGGACGCGACGAGCTTCCCGAGCGCCGCGTCGATCTCCGTCTCGGGCACGGCGACGGCGGACATGAGAATCGTCACGATCCACTTCGCGTCCACGGCGTCTTGCAGCAGCGCGCGACGCAGACGCAGCGAGCGTCGCCGCGTCGAGGTTGTCGCCTCGCAGATGCCCAGGGAGGAGTTCGTCCCCATCGCCGCGAACGTGCTCTCGCACGCGTCGTCCTCCGACGCCGCCGTCTGCTGCGTCTCCACCTGTTTCACGGGCACGCCCGCGAGCGCGGCGTCCAATAGGAGCTCCTCTTTCGCGACTTCCTTCTTCACCGCCGCGGGGGGCTTGCCCGCGGTCTCCGCCTTGGCTTTGACGCGCGCTTTCATCGCCTCTCTCTCCGCTTCCACCTTGGCTCGCGCCGCCTCCGCGGCTTCGCGAAGCGCGATCGCCTCCTCCCACTGTTTTTGAAGCCTCGCGAGACTTTCGTCGATCTTCCCTTGCTCCTCCGCGGATATCGCGGGCGCGCCGGGCGCAACCTCCGCGATAGTTTTCGCGGCCACCACGGACTGCACCTTCGTCACGACAGCCTGGAGCTTCTCGAGCATCTGCTTTTTCCGTTCCTCCGGGGAGAGTTTTAGTTTCTCCGCCATGCGCTCGGCGATGGGTTTACGCGACGGCTCCGGGCCAGGGCTCGGGCCGCCGCCGCCCGGGCCTGGGCCGTCGTCGCCGCCCGGGCCTTGGCCGTCGTCGCCGCCGGTTCCGCCGCCGGGTCCGAATAACTCGTGCACGCCTCGCTTGAACTCTTCGAAATGCGCGCCGCTCGACTCGATGTTCGACGCCAAGAGCGAGTCCGCCAAGTCGTGGAATCTGCTCGGGCACGGCACCTCCACGTCCGAGCCGTTGGCGTCGATGCGATAGCACTCCTCCAACCTCTTCCCGAATTCGTGAAGGATCTCGACCGTCTGCGCGCTGTTCCAGTCCGGGAGGACGTCCGCGGAGCACCCGGCGGCCTCTTCGTCGCCGTGAATCTCGGCGAAGCAGTCCGGGGCTCCGGCGGGGTGACGAACCTCGAGACGCTTGTCCGGGGTCCTCAAACCGGTCAGCGTGGTCGGCTCTTTCCAGTCGATGATCTGCCGCATCTTCTCGATCGTCTCATCGGACACGTTATGCTTCCTCGCGCCCTCCTCCCAGTGCTCGTCGTGCACGGCTTTGACCTCCTCGGGAGTGAGCTCGACGGGGGTGATTTTCTTTCCGGGCCCGATCGCTTCCACGTGCGCTTCGATCTTCTCGTGAATCTCTTTGACGAGGTCCTCAGAGACGTTCGCCTCGGAAGCCACGGACTCGTGGACGTCGTTCAGTTCCTCGTCGGTCGGCTCGCGAACGACGGAGGCGACCGCCGGGGCGGCGACGCTCTGCGTTTTATTGGCGGCGACGCTCTGCGTTTTATTGGCGATCAACTCGTGGATATTTTTGACCGCGGCGGACGACACCGGGGCGTCCTTCCCCGAGGACACCGCCTTCGCGACGTCCTCGTGCATCTTCGCGATGTCCTCGGCGCTCATCTTCGATAACGTCTCGCTCGTGGACTCCTCCGCGGGTGCGGCTTCTTCCACCTCCGCCGCCTTCTTCTTCTCCGCCTCCTTCTCCGCGATGTGTCCGTGGATCCCCGCGATCTGGTCGCTCGTCAGATTCACCTTCGACGCGGCTTTCTCCCAGGCGTGGTGCGCCCCGGGCGTCGTCGGCGTCTGGCCGCGGTCGTGGGGTTCGTCCGTGCCCGCGAACGCGTCGTGGATGCGCCGCATCTGAACCTCTGACGCGCGCCCGCCCGCGTCGTGCGTCGTCGCGTTCTTCGCGTCCGCAGCGATGATCGCTCGAATCTCCGCAACCTTCTCCGCGGTGAGGCTCGTCGCGATCTCGATCCTCCCGCGAATCTCTGCGACCTGCGCGGGGGTAAAGTACGTCTCCACGCTGTCCAGAAGGTGGTTCAAGATTTTAGACACCGCCTCCGCGTGCTCCGCCGCGCGCTTCGCCTCCGCCGCCGCGGTCGCGCCCGGCGGCGCTCTCGCCTCCGCGTCGCGTTCGTCCCGCTGCTCCGCGGTGAAGTCGTCCACCGCGTGGATAAGCGCGTTCGCCGCCTCATCCCGGAGCTTATCGTGCGTGGACTTGATCTCTCCCGGTCCGAGCGCCTCGACGCGCGCCTCCGCGGGGCTCTTCGGCTTCGAAGGCTTCGAACGCTCGACGGCGGCGTCGCGCGAGGCGTCGTCGTGGCGTGCGAGGTCGTCGTCCGCGGCGTCGCGCGAGGCGCGGACGCGTTCGAGCTTGGCGTGGATCGCCGCGATCTTGTCTTCCGTCGGCGGCGCATCCACCTCCGTCGGCGGCTTCGGCGCGGCGTCCTCGCGAGCCTTCGCCACGTCGGCTTCGCGTTTTAGTTTTTCGTGGATGTTCGCGACGGCGTTCGCGTCCAGGCCCTTCGTCGTCTCCGTCGTCGGGGCCCGCGCCGCAGCGTTCGTCTCCTTCGTCGGCGCGTTAACGTCGGGAACCTTCTCGGTCGTCGTCGGCGCCTTCGCGGCGGCGGCGAGCATCTCGCGAACGGACGCGATCGGGCTATCGGCGCCCTCCACGACGCGGGGGTCGCCCGCCATGATGCCGAGCGTGCGCGCGAGGACGCGATAGGAGCCCGTCTTGCCGCTGAACGGCTGCGCGTTCACCGTGTCCAGCGCGCCGTCGAGCTTCTCGCGGACCTTCGCGATCTCGGCGGGGTCGACGGCGGTCGACGACGTCGCCGGCGCAGGGGGGTCGACGCCTTCGTGGGCGGTCGCCGCCACCGACGTCGTCCTCATCCTCGCGAGTCTCTCGTGGATCGCCGCGACGGCGTCGGGGGACAGGCCCGTCGCCGCGGTTTCGGTTTCGGGTTTTTTGGTAGATTCGGTCGTCTTCAACCTCGAACGCCCCCCGACGGAGGACGACGATCGACGCGTCGTCGTCAGCGCCTCGATCTCTTTCGGCGCGAACCCGACGTGCGCGAGGACGCTCGCGAACGCGTCTTCGTCGCCCTCGCGCTCCTCCGCGCCGAGGGAGGACGCGCCCAAGGAGGCGGCGGCGGCCGCGGTCGACGTCGCGACCCCGGAGGTCATCGACCCGAACGCGCTCGGCGCGCACGAGAACGCGGCGTTCGCGGGGCACGACTGATGCGTCGCGCCGTCCGCGCCGATCGCGCACGCGTACGCGCTCGCGTGATAGTTCGCGGGGAGGTAGTCGACGTTGACGACCTGCTCCAGGGAGTGCGCGCCGCCGTTGTTGTTGCCGAGGAACGACCACTTGATCGGGCCGAGGTCCGCGTTCATCATATCGCGCAGATCCCCGACGACGAGCTGCAGCGAGTTGCTCTCCGCGGCGTCCAAGTAGACGTCCACGTTTAGCGTCTCCAAATTCTTGCGCGACGTCGTCTCCGTGTCCGTCTCGCCCGTGACCGTGCCGACGACGTCCGAGACGAAGCCGCCGAGCGCGGGGGACGCGGACCTTTCCGCCGACAATAATTTCGCCCCCCCACGCGATTCACCCCCCACGAACGGCCGCGGGACATGCGCGCGCGCGTCGGGCGACGCCGTCAGCGTCGCGACGGTGCCGCACACGAGAACGATCGCGATCGCGAGCGCGCTCGTCATCGTCGCCCTCGATCGCGGCGGCGGCGGCGTCATCGGAGGTGGCATCCCTCCGAGAGCGCCGCGGGTTGTGCGCGGCGCGCGCCTTCGCGTCCCCGACGATCGTAACCTTACGAAGAGTCGGGCCTCGGTCGATGTTTGGCGTGGGATTTTTGTAACACCACTCTGTTTTGAAAGGCAGGTGCGATGAACGCGAGGAAAGTAGAAGGTATTTGCGATATTTGAAACATGGGTAACACTCTTTTGAACGGTAAAAAGCTGTTCGACCGCTTTCAACGTCATCTCCGTGCGCGAGAAGACGGATCACTTCTTCCTCGGCGAGAACAGCGAATACCGCCGCGCGCCCGCCTCCGTGATCCTCTGCGCCTCGTTCGCGATCCTCCTGCCCTCGCCGGTCAGATCGATCGACGGCTGGTGCCAGTCGAACGGGTCCATCATCGTCTTGCCCACCTCCCAGATCCCGTAAAACCCGAGCGCGAGGATCGCCGCCGGAACGGGCGTGAGCCACTTAAATGTCGCCGTGAACGTGAACGGCGCGCTGAACACGAACACGAACAACACGAGGTTCACCATGTGCACGTACTGATACGGTATCGGCGTGGATATGATCCGCTCGCAGGACTTGTACGCGGCGAGGACGAAGTCGCAGGATTTGTAGACGTCGAACGCGGCTTTCTCGTACACATCCCCCGCGCGTCGCCGCCTCTCCACGAGCCTCTGCACGTCCGCGACGACGACGTTGAACCGGTTCGCGCGGTCCACCTTCGCGTACCTCGCGCGCTCGTCCGCCGTGAGCAGCAGCGCGAGCGTCGGGTCGCCGCACGCGTCCTCCCGGAGGAGGTCGGCGTCGGACACCGGGCCGGCGACGGCGCCGCCGAGGTGGACGCAGCTCCGCGCGCGACCGGCGCCCGCGCCCGCGCCGCGCGACCGGTCGTCGCGCTCGTCGCTCGCGAGGAGGTCCGCGATCGGCGTCGGCGCGCGGTGGCGACGCTCGGACGCGTGGTGCGAGTACCCGTGGCGGTGCTCGCGCAGGGCTTGGCGGACGAACGCGAAGAGGACGTTGGTCAGGCGGCGGAGTTCGATCTGATCCGCGCGGAGGACGTCGCGCGTCGTTTGGTCGCGCGGCGTCGCGTCGTCGTGACCGGGCTCTCCGGGCGCGGGCGCGCGCAAGAAGGCTGCGAAGGCGATGTTCATGTTCCGTATCCCGTGGTACACCTCCCCGACGGCGGTTTTCGCCTCGTAAAATTTCACGTACGAAATCTGCGCGCAAAACACGAGAAGGAACCCGATGATCGCGCCGCATATCGCGTGCGCTTCCGTGTTGAACGTGACCATGCACTCGGAGGATAGCTTCACGTCGTCCCCGCACAGGTACGACTTGGCCGCGTTCGCGAATAAACCCACCGACGCGGACAACATAATCTGCGGGGCAACCTTCTTCAGCACGTTGTGCCGAATCGAGAACAAGCCGGTGATGAACGCCAACGGGTGACGCGGATACTCCAGCGACCGTATGCCCTTGGACACGTCGATCGCGGACTGGCGGCGGTCGCGGAACGTCCGCTGAATCTCCGCGTGCTGTCTCAGAAGCGACTCGTGGTCGGGTTTCAGCGACGCGCGATGCGCGAGGTCGCGCAGAGCGCGCGCGGCGCGCGAAGCCTCGCCGCCGCCGCCGCCGTCGTCGCCGCCGTCGTCGTCGTCGTCGTCGTCGTCGTCGTCGTCGTCGTCGTCGTCGTCGCGAGTCGTCGCGTCTCGCACGACCTTCTCCGCGCACCGCTCGTGGATCTGCACGCACTCGCGCCAGACCCGCAACCCGACGCCGGCGATGTCGTGGTTCGGCTCCGTCCAGTTGAACGGCCGCTCGATGACTTCGCCGATGGAGTTGATCCCGTAAAACGCCATCGCGAGGAGGCACGACGGGAAAAACGAGATGTACTGATAACTCACCGTGAATATGAACGGCGCGCTGTACGTGAACAGAAACGTCACGAACGAGCAAATCTGGACGTACTGGAACGGTATCGGCGTCGTCACAACGCGCTCGCACGCTTTCAAGGACGACATCACGAGCTGGCACTCGCTGTACAAGTCGAACGCGCCGCGTTCACAGATGTGCCCCAACCGACGGTGGTGCTCGACGATGGCCTGTATCCGCGTCACGACCATGTTCGGGCGGTTCTGAAACGGCGCCTCGCTGTACTCGTTCGCCTCGCTCGCGCCTTTGAGCAGCGACCCGAGCGACGGCGCGCCGTAACGGTCCTCCATGAGCAGTTGCTTATCCCCCGGCTTGGTATCGTCCGGGTACCCTAAACGTTGCTCGCGAAGCATGTGCCGGAGGAACCCGAAGAGCAAACCGCTCAGACGCAGAAGCTCCGTGCGCTCGTTCAGCAGCAGCGCCGCGCGCGCGCTCGCGACCGCGCCGTCTGCGCCGTCGTACCCGGGCTCGCCCTCGCGCGCGTCGCGTAAAAACGCGCACACGCCGATGTTGAAATTCCGCAACCCGCAGTGTAACTCGCCCATCGCGCTCTTGGCCTCGTAGTACCGATCGTACGCGAACTTAAACCGGTACACGATCATGAACGCGAGGACGGACCCCACGACCGCGTGCGCGTGCGGCTCGAACGTGACCGGGCACTCGTACGCCTCTTGGACGTGCCCGCCGCACCGGATCAGCTTCGCGATCTGCGCGGCCCAGCCGATGACGAACGCGAGCGCGACTTGCGGGACGACTTCGCGGTGAATCGTGTGCTTGAACCGGAAGATGTCGAAGATGAAGCCGAGCGCGTGCGAGGACAGCTCCGGCGTCGGGAGAGGCGTGTGCGTCAAGGGGACGCCGCCGGAGAGGGTGCCGGCCGCGGCGGCGGTCGCGGTCGCGGGCGCCCGCGGTGGCGGCGGCGGCTCCTGAGCAGCCTTTGCCGCCGCCGCGGCTCGCGCTTTCGCGACCTCGATCGCTTCCGCGGACGGCTCCACCGTCGGAGCGTGCGCGAGCAGCTCGACGTCCACGGCGCCGTGCGCGACGCTGCGACGCACGCCGCCGGGGGAGACTCGCTTCGCGCCCCCGGCGCTCTTCGCGCCGCCGGTCGCGTCCACGCCGACGTACACGACTGACGCGTCCGCCGCCGCCGCCGCCGCCGCCGCCGCCGCGGGGGTTTCGCATTCGAACGCGCCCCCGCCGTCGTTCGCGATCGCCGCGTCCACGTCCACGACGGACGCCTCGTGCAGCTGCAGCGACTCCGCGTACAGACGCCACCCCACGCCGGTCAGGTCGTGGCACGGTTTCACCCACGAGTACGGGTCCTCGATCGATCGCGCCACCTCCGCGACGCCGTAAAACGAAATCGCGACGATGCACGACGGGATCGGCGAGAGCCACTTGAACCCGGTCGTGAACACGAACGGCGCGCTGAAGACGAAGATGAACAGCAGAAAGTTCACCATGTGCAGGTACTGGAACGGCATCTTCGTGGACACGATGCGCTCCATGTGCTTGTACGCCTCGAGGCAACCTTCGAGGTCGTGGTAGATGTCGAACGCGCCGCGGTCGGAGACGTGCCCTAACCGCCTGTGGTGCTCCACGATCGACTGCATCTTCCACACGACCATGTTCGCGCGGTTGTTAAAGTCGAGCGCTTTGAACTCCGCGCGCTCCGCGTCCGTGAGGAGGACGCCGAGCGACGGACGACCGAACAGGTCGTCGTCCACGAGCGACGCGTCCGTCGCCGCGACGTCGCAACGCGTCGGATACCCGTGTCGGTGTTCTCGCACCGCCTGACGAATGAACGCGTACAAAACGGACGATAACCGCCTGAGCTCGACCCTGTCGCGATTCAGGGAATGTGAGAACCCGGCGTGGACGTGCTCGTCCTCGCTGCTGCGCATGAACGCGTTGAACCCGATGTTCGCGTTCCGTACCGAGTCGTACAGGTTTCCGAGGTATTTCTTCCCTTCGTAGAACCGGTAGTACGAGATGGACGTTCGAAACACGAGCATGAAGCCGATGATCCCTCCCGCGACCGAGTGCGCGGTCTCGCTGAACGCGAGCGGGCACTCGCTGTGCGACGTGATGTTCGCGCCGCACCAGTAAATCTTCACGACCTGCGCGAGCACGGACACGAACACCGCGAACAACGTCTGCGGCATGATCTTCGGAAGCACGGTGCCGCGGTACCGAAATAAAACGGTAAAAAACGTTAGCGGACCGGAGTCGAGCTCTTCGCCGTAGCTCTCGCTCGCGCCGCCGTGCGCGTTCACGGACGGCATCGCATCCAGGGCCAAGAACACGGACTTGGCGCTCGAGCGCGATCGCGCGGCGTCGCTTCCGAAGCTCGTCTGCGACGTGACCGAGTTGGCTCTCGACCTCGCGCGCGCCTTCGCCGCGCTCCTCGACTTTGCGTTCGCGTTCGCGTCGTTCGCGTTCCCCGGCGATGTCGCCGCGATGTCGCTCTCGGAGTCGTGCCGCTCGAGCGCGGTCTGCATGACTTTCAAGAACGCGGCGCCGTCCGCGCGCGCGCTCGCGTTCGAAGCGAGGCTGGCGTCCTTCGCCGCGGCGGCGGCGGCGTTTTCGTGCACCTTCAAGTTCTCCCTGTAAATCCGCAACCCGACGCCGCTGAGGTCGTGGCACGGCTGCTGCCAGTTGAACGGATCCTGAATGAGCTTCCCCATCTCGTTGATGCCGTAGAACCCGACCGCGACGATCGCGCTCGGCAGCCACGCGATCCATCGGAACGTCGTCGCGAACACGAACGGCGCGCTGAACACGAAGAAGAACAGGATGAACTGCAACATGTGCAGATACGTGAACGGAATCGGCGTGGAGACGATCCGCTCCATGGCTTTGTACGCTCCGAGGCACAGCTCGAGCTGCTGGTAAATCTCGAACGCGGCGCGCTCGCTTATGTTCCCCAGCCTCCTGTGCGTCTCGACGATCATCTGCACGCGCATCGCGACCCAGTTGCAGCGGTTCGACGGCATCATCGCGAGCAGCGTCTTCGCCTCCCCCGGCTTGAGCAGGTCCGGCAGAGGCGGCTTCCCGGTCGGATCCGACATCACGCACTCCTCGTCCGTCATCGGCTCGCCGTCTTCCCCGCCGACGCGCAGGTCGCGCAGGATGTGTCGCATCGTCGCGTACAGGATGTTGGTCAGGCGGAGGAGCTCGGTGCGGTCTTCTTCGATTCTCCGCGCGGCGGCGGCGTCTTGCTCGTCGCCGGTCCGCCCGACGCCTCTGAGCGCGCCGTCGAGCTCGCTCGCGGGCTTCTCCCCCGGCTTGTTCGCGCGCAGGTAGTTCACGAAGCACACGTTCAGGTTCCGCAGCCCGGAGTACAGGTGACCTAACGACTGCTTCCCTTCGTAGTACCGATCGTACGCCCAGTCCGTGCGAAACACGAGTAGGAACCCGAGCGACACGGAGACGACTTGATGCCCGGTGATGTCGAACGTGGTCTCGCACTCCGCCGCGGCGACGACGCTCGGGTCGCAGTAGAACCCTTTCAGCCAGTTCGCGAACAGACCGAGGATCACCGCGACGCAGATCTGCGGCAGCAGCGACGGCATCACGGTGTTCCGCCACGTGAAAATCTCGCTGAAAAAACCGGTCCAGTGCGCGCTGAGCTCCATCGGGAGCATGTGCGGGTCCAACGTCATCGCGTCGTCGTCGTCGTCGTCGTCGTCGCCGCCGCGCTCATCGTCGCCGCCGCCGCGTTCGCCGCGGCGTCCGCCCGTCGACGGCTTCGGCGAGCCGTTCGCGGCTTCGTCGAGCCGTGCCGCGCGCGCTCTCGCCGCGGCGGCGGCGGCGGACGGCGGGCCGCTCACGGACGCCGCGCTCGACGCGCGGCGACGCAACGCGCTGCGCGGGACGCCGCCGGGGCTGGGCTTCGGCGCCGGCGACCCGGGGGCGCCGGACAGAGGCGGGACGTCGCCGTCCTCGAGCGCGAGCGCCTCGAGCGCGCACGCTTCCTCGAGCGCCGCAGCCTGTGATTTCGAATCCGCGAGGGGCGCGGCGGCGACGGCGCGGCGGAGGGCTCTCGTCGCCATTTCTCGCCGGTCGCCGTCGGGTGCCTCGCCGTCGCCGCCGTTCGTCTTCTCCCCGGCGAGCCTCTCCGCGGCATCTAGCTTCATCGCGTCTCTCTCCACGTCGTCCGCGCGCTCGTGAATCTGCAGGTTCTCGCGGTAGATGCGCCACCCGATGCCGCTCAAGTCGTGGCACGGCTCGTCCCAGCTGAACGGATCCTCCATGCAACGGCCGATCTCGTTGACGCCGTAAAACGACAGCGCGACGACGGCCGCGGGCAACGGCGTGACCCACTTGAAGTTCGCGGTGAACACGAACGGGACGCTGAATACGAAGAAAAATAGCAGGATGTTGAGCATGTGCAAGTACTGGTACGGAATCGGCGTCGTGACGATGCGCTCCGCGGACTTTAACGCGTCCAGCACCGTTTGGCAGTCGCGAAACGCGTCTAAACACGCGCGCTCGCCGAGGTTCCCCGCGCGTCTGTGGTGCTCGATGATGGACGTGATCTTAGAAACGCACACGTTCGGGCGGTTCCACGGTTCCAGAAGTTTAAACTCCTCGAGCTCGTCGCGGTCTTTCACGATGTCCGGCACCCTCGGCTTGCCTCCGCGGTCGCGCGTCACGAGCTCCTCGTCCGTGACGGGGCCGACGTCGCTGTACCCGTGCCGCTGTCCTCGCACCGCTTGCCGGAGGAACGCGTAGAGCAGGTTCGTGAGTCGGAACAGCTCCATGCGATCTTTCGCCATCTTCGCCGCCGCGAGCGCCGCGTCCGCGGCGTCGCTCATCGTCGTCGTCGTCGTCGTCGTCGCCATCGGTCGCAAAAACGTCGCCGCGGCGACGTTCAAGTTTCTCAACCCGCTGTGCACGCGCCCGAGATTCTCTTTGCCCTGGTAGTACCTCTCGTACGCGAGGTCCGCGCGGAAGACGAGGAGAAACGACAACACGACGGACACGCCGAGGTGCCCGTCCAGGTTAAACGTCACGTCGCACTCCGTGTCGTCCGTGATGTCTTCCCCGCACTGACGAATTTTCACGACGTTCGCGACCAACCCGACGAGCGCGGCGGCGATGACTTGCGGGACCACCCGCGGGACGATCGTGTCCTTTAATCGGAAGATCTCCTTCGCGAACGCGAACCGCGAGCGTTCCATCTCGCGCGGTTTGTCGAGGAGCACGACGCGCTTCGCGGACGCGCCGCGGAAGCCAGAGTCCCTGGCGCGCGTCGCGCGTCTGGACTTTTTTCGGCGGCGGTCGGCGTCATTGAGGGCCATTCTATACAAGCGAATGTCGGGGTGGAGTTCAAAGGCGTCAGGTGGAGTTGAAAGGCGTCGCGGGCGGGGACTGAAAGCGGGGGCTGGGCGCAGAGTCACGCCGGGAAACGTCCTTAAGGATCGGCGTTCACCACGCGAACGCGGTCGTATGGGGACCAGTGTATAGAACGCACCTGAGCCCGCCGCCGAGTCCCGGCGCGCCCGGGAACAGGCCGCCGCCTGTCCATTCGTCCTCCGTCGTGAAGCCGCTGCCGACGCTGCCGACGGAGGAGATCACGGAGTCCACGCTCGCGGCGCTGCCGCATCGCGCGCGTCGCGATGTCGTGGCCGCGGCGTCGCGCGCGTCGCCGCCGGGCCCTGACGCGGGAGGAGGATCGTTTTGCGACGACGCGTTGCCGTTTCCGTCTTCGAGAGCGCTAATCTGACGATCGGACGCGAGACGACGCGCGCGACGCGGCGTCGCGGGCGAGCGCGGCGTCTCGTCGTCGCTTCCCGAGGACGCGCCCCCCTCGAGCGGGCGGGATTCGAGGGGAGGGACGTCGCGCGACGGGTTCGGCGCGACCGGCATCGCCCCCATGCGCGGCGGCGTCGCGGTCGCGGTCGCGGTCGTGGTCGTCAGATCCTCGGATCGACGCGTTCTCGGATCGTCCTCGACGGAACCGCGCGCGAGGTATCGGTCCGCGCCGCGAGGCATCTACGAGCGCGCGCGACTCGCGCTCGTTCGCGCGCGTGTCGACGCGCGCGCGGACGAGCGGAAGCGCGCGTCGCGCCGGCGGCGAGTGACGCGCGCGACGCGCGACGAGTCGACCAAAACGGGCGCCGGACGACGAAGCGTCGCGACTGGCACGATTTCGCGCCGGCACTTTCGCGGCCGCACTTCGCGCCGCGAGGGACCAGAGACCTGCGCGCGTCGATCGACGACTTCCGCACTTCCTCGACAGCGAGAATGTTCCCACGACACCCCCTCACCGCGATTCTTCCGCGCGGATGCGGTCTCTACGAACGGGACGCGATGCCGAGCGCGCACGGCGGCGGCGACGCGGCGCTCGCGCTCGTCGTCGCTCGAACGCAATCGTTTCCAAATGAGATCGATGGCGGGAAAAAACGCGGACGACCGAAGGGCTCGAAGAGTAGGGCGGGCTCGGGGACGCTCAACACGGGGCGCAAGGGCCACCGACGCAAGAAACGCGCGGTCGCCTCTGGCGGCGGCGACATGTACTTATCTCCGGCGTGGAGCACGCCGGGGATGTCGCACGAGTCCCTCAAGTTGTTACGCGCGTCGGGCTTGTTCGCGAACGATTGCGTCGAGCGCGCGTTCGCGCTCGGGGACGCGGAGGTGAGGCTCGAGTTCGAACGCCGAATACGCGCGCGCGAGGAATACGCGAGCGCGATAAGTAGTAATAATCGCAATAAGTAAACGCGTTAAACGCAGGGCTACACACTACACGTACCGCGTCACCCCGCCGGCGGCGCGCACATCTTTTCCTCCTCCGCCCCCTCCAACGACTTCCCGTACCACCGCTTGTCGTCGTGCGTCAGCGCGGTCGCGTGCTTCGGGACTCCCTTCTCCCTCACCTCGCTCCACGGCTCGTACGCGTACCCCGACGCCGCGAGCGTCGCCGCGAGCGCGAGGTCGTTCCACTTCGCCTTCGCGTCCAGCGCCTTGAGGGTCGTTCCATACAATGCGAAGTGGGGGTGGAGTTCATAGGCGTCAGGTGGAGTTGAAAGGCATCGAGGGCGGGGATTGAAAGCGAGGTGTGGGCGGAGAGAATCGCCGGGCAAAGTCCTTAAGGATCGGCGTTCACCACGCCGACGCGGTCGTATGGGGACCAGTGTGAGGTGAACGCGCCTGAAAAGTTTTCAAATCCTCGCGCGTCGTCGCGCCGACGGCGCGGAGCAACGCGTCGACGCGCAACACGCTCCCGCCGCACAGGCCGTAGTGCTCGCGGGGCCTCTTCCCGCCCGCGCGCTTCGCGAGCTCGCGCGACAGCGCGGGCGTCATCGGCGTGCCCCATCCGCGGTCGTCCACGCCGCCGGCGTCGACGCCGTCGCGAGGCCACCGACGTATCCCTCCGGGACCCGGCGCGTTCCACGACACGTCGTCCTCCAGGTACACCATCCACGTCGTGTTCATCGCCTCCGCGGCGACGGCGAGGCGCTGAAGCCACACCATGACGTCGCCCTTGCCGCCGTACCCGCTCGCGGTCGGATCCAGCGTAAAGTTGCACGCGTAGATCTCGCACATCCGTGAGCAATCGTATCCGGCGTCGCTGACCACGCGGATCGGCGCGCTCGGGTACCGCTCCCTCGTCGCTTTGACGATCTCCAGCGACGCTTTCGGCTCGCGCGCCATCTGGAGGAGGAACCCCACGGAGTTCGAAGACGCGTCCCGTGGTCGATGGCGCGACCGCGGCGGCGGGCGGGAGGGGGACTGCGGTGACGGCGGCGGCGGCGGCGGCGGCGGCGGCGCGTCCGTAGTCGTCGCCGTCGTCGTCGTCGTCGTCGTCGCCTCGTCTTCCGCCGCGCGCGTCGTCGTCGTCGTCGTCGTCGTCGTCGTCTCCGCCGCGTTCTCCTCCTCCTCCGGCGCGGCCGCGTCGTATTCCTTCGTCCCCCCCGCGTGCTCCTCTTTTCTCTTCCTCGCCGCCGCCGCGTCTTCCGCGGTGAAGCGATGCGGCGTATCCCTGCTAAAGTGCCTCGCGACCGCGTCCGTCGCGTTCGTCGCCGCGCCGCTCGCGTCGATCGCCCCCGCGCGTCCCGCGCGTCCCGCGCCGGGCGCGGCGCCCCCCGCGCGCTTCTTCGCGCGCTTGAACGGCACGAACGACGCCGTGGCCGCGCTCGCGGCGTCCGCGATCCGCGCGGCCCTCGTCGACGCGCCCCCCCCCTCGCCCGCGGCGTCGCGCGACGAGATTCGAACGACGCGCGATCCGTCGTCTCCGCCGCGTCCGAACGCCGCCCACGCGAGCGCCAGCGTCAGGACCGCGGCCAGACCGGCGAGGAGCGCGACGCGGACGCCGGGTCGCCTCGCGACGGGCCTGCCGCCGCGCGGCTTGGCGTACGCGCGGAACCCCGCGGTCGGGGTCGCCCCGCGCGTCGCCATCTGTGACTGTGACAGTGCCGACTTCCTGGCGGGCGTTCGCGTCGGAGGAGACGACGCAGCAGCAGCTCAATATCAGATCTCTGCGCGCCGCGCGTCCGCGGCCGCGATGGCGTCGTTCCTCACCGCCGGCCGCGTCGTCCACGCGCTGATCGCGCTCTACTTCGCCGTCCTCGCGAAGCACCTCCACGTCCTGTTCTTCCCGGCGCCGTGCCCGGAGGACGCGCCGAGGTCGTCGTGCGTGGAACCGACGATCGGCGCGAACGAGACGTACGACCTCTACGTCTACGCGTCGCCGCACTCCACGTGGAAGTCCAAGGCGTTCATGAGAGACGTGCACGCCCCGCGCGTCGTCGACGCGGAGGGTAACGTCGCGCGCGTCGCGGCGAACGAGGAGGAGGATGGAGATGGAGAGGGAGAGGGAGGAGGAAGCGGCGCCGGCGCGGAGGACGAGGACGGCGGCGATCCGGTCGCGATCCTGGTGGGCAAACGTCTCGGCGCGCGCGTCGAGGACGCGGTGCGCGTAAACGTAACGCTCCCGGCGAAGGCGTTCGGGACGCGCGCGAACGGGACGATGTACGCGCACGTGATGATGTACCCCGATCAAGGGAGGACGTTCGCGAGGAAGAGGAAGAAGGGCGAGAGCGACGCGGACTTTGCCGTCGCGGAGGCGGCGCGAGAACGCGAAAACGAGAGGAAGCGGCGTCGACGCGCGCCGACTGGCGGGCCGCTCAGCGTGGCGACCGCGTCGCTGACGAAACATCTCGTATACGATCGCGCGGACGGCGCGATGCTGCTCGGCGGCGGCGGCGGCGGCGGCGGCGGCGCGAAGACGGAGGAATCGACGACGACGACGAAACCGACGCCGCGGACGCCGACGACGCATCTGCGCCCGCGTCTGACGATTTTCACGCTCAAGTCTCCGCGCGCGTTCCCCGTCGACCAGATCCCCGGGGACATGAACCTCGAGTTCACGCAGTCGCCGCAGTATCGCGGGTACGCCGCGGCGTACCGGCAGCCGATGCAAGTGGACGACGTCACGATCCCGCGGCGCGAGTACGTCCCGTTGGACGCGAACGCGTCTCGCGCGGATCCGACGATGACGGTGACGATGCATCCGTGCCGCGTCGGCGTGTATCGCCTGTGGCGCCAGGTCGCGGCGGCGACGGAGACGATGATCACATCGTTCGGGATGACGCGCGGCGACGTAGACGAGGTGATAGAGATGTTCACGGCGACGGACTGGAAGTATATGATGATGATGTTTCTCGTGTCGGCGTTGCACTCGTGGTTCGCGTTTCTCGCGTTTAAATCCGACGTCGGCTTCTGGAAACAAAAGAGTAACCTGGAAGGCCTGAGCGTGCGATCGCAGTGGAGCTCGTTCGTGTGCACGCTGATCATCTTTCTGAACCTCGCGGACACCGGTCAGGCGAGCACGATCATCCTCGTCGAGATGGGCGTCGGCGTCGCCATCGAGGCGTGGAAGGTGTCGAAATTCCTGGCGCGAGACGGGACGTTACACCGACTGTTCGGCGTCGGCGACCCGCCGGCGCCGAAGACGCAGATGCAAAAAGACGTCGAGTCGTACGATAAGCGCGCGATGTTCGTATTATCCCTGACCCTGTACCCCGTCGTCGCCGCGTACGGAGCGTACTCGCTGTTGAATCACCCGCAACGGAGCTGGCGGTCGTGGGCGCTGCGGACGCTCGCCAACGGCGTGTACATGTTCGGGTTCATCGCGATGACGCCGCAGTTGTACGTCAACTACCGATTAAAGTCCGTCGCGCACCTGCCGTGGAAGGCGTTCACGTACAAGGCGTTCAACACGTTCATCGACGACGTCTTCGCGTTCGCGATCGCGATGCCGACGATTCATCGGCTCGCGTGTTTACGCGACGACGTCGTTTTCTTCGTGTACCTGTATCAGAGGTGGTTGTATCCGGTGGACAAGAAGCGCGTGAACGAGTTCGGGCGCGCGTACGAGAAGGACGAGAACGACGAAGAGAAGAAGGAGGAGGAGGGCGACGTCGCGGAGACGAAGAAGGACAAGTGAACGCGTCCCCGTCTTAGCGGTCGTTTATGTTTTACGAAAGTACTTCTAGATGACTTATTCTTATTTCTAATTTCGTCGCGACTGGATCGCTCGTCACTCGTCCATCGCGATGTCTTCTACTCTCACGCCGCCGACGTTCGTCCCTTTCAGCGGGCTCACCGCGCCCATCGTCACGCTGTGACTGCGTCGCATCAGCGCCCCCGGCGACGCGGGCGGCCGCGGCGCGCTGAGCGAGCTCTCGCTCCCGCTCCCGCCGCCGTCCCCCGCCCAGGGTGCCGCCGCGTCTCCCGACGACCCCTCGGCGACGCGCGCGATCTCGTCGATCGTGATCGGCTCCCGTCGCGCGTAGTACTGAAACAAAATCTTCGTCGTCGCGTCCGCGCCGGAGGCCCTTCGCTGGTTCGCGAGGCCCTCGTACACGAGGTCAACGCGCGCGATCGCGCCGCTCTCGTCGACGACGATCCCGCCCTCGCCGATCGCGAATCGAAGCAGCAACCCGTGCGCGTCGCCGTCGACGCCGCCGACGCGGTACTCCTCCGGCAAACGCGCGAGCGCGACCGGGGGCACGTCCCCGGTGCACACGTCCCCGGTGGACGCGTCCAGGCACAGCACGACGCGCTGCGTCTCGTCCGCGCCGTCGTCGCCGTCCACCTTCTCGAGCACGTGCTTCGAACACCTCGCGTCCTTCCACTGCAACGCGAGCGGCGACGCGCCGATGGCGTAGTTCCCATCCTTCGCGAGGAACAAGATCCCGTCCCTCTCGAACGGCACCGCGCCCTCGTACGCGGCGCGCAGGCCCTCGACGTCCGCGTCGTGCGTCGGCGGGACCGCGAACGCGTACTTATTCTGCGGCGAGGGTGTTTGCCCATACGAGGCGCCCCCGCGCGCGGCGTCGCACTCTGCAGTCTCCGCGTCGCCGAGCTTGCCACGCACCCACGCCACGCGCATCTCCGCCGCGCAGTCGTACAGCGACACGCTGTTCCACGCGAGGCAGTCTAAGACGTAGTACGTCTGATCGCGCTCGTGGAAGACGCAGTCCAGGATGCAGAACGCGTCCGGGCCGTGGCGCGTCGCGTCGCTGCCGCCGGGGAGCGCTGATTTAAATCGGTGCAGCGGCCGCCCCGACCGGAGCCGGCTGACGACGCCGCCGCGCGACGACACGACGAGGCACCGCCGGCCCTCCGGCCTCGGGATCGCGAACCACCCGGACGCGAGGTCCGGGGGCACGTCGATCATCCACTCCGGGAGCATGAACTGCGTCTCCCCGAACGATGTCCCTCTGGAGGGCTCGCGATCGCTCCACTTTCCGGGCGCCGAGGACGAGCGACGATGCCGCTGTTTCCGCCGCCGGCCGTGGCCATCGTCCGTCGCCTCCTCCGCCGTCGCGCCTCGCCCGCGCGCCTCCGCGTCCTCCATCGCCGCCGCGGTCGCGGGCGCGCTGTCGACGCGGAACAGCGCGTCCGCGTCCGCGCTCGCGAGCGAGCTCTGCGAGCCCGCCCCGCGGCTCGCGCAGATCCCCTCCGCGGCGTTCAGCGCGTCGATCTCGTCTCGCTCCGCGAACGACGACGAGGCGTCGCGTTCGCCGCCGTCGCCGTCGTCTCCGCCGCCGTCGTGGTCGCCGAACGCGAGCGATCGCGCGTAGTTCGTGAAGTCCCTTCGCGCGTCTTTCTGGCGCTGCCTCGCCGCGTCTCTGCGGAGGTGGGGGGGAGGGTTGGGGCGTCAGATCGAGGAGCGCGATGGTGGTCGTTCGTGGACGCGAGGCGGACGAGAGAGGGAAAAAGCGCGAGCGATTCGCGATCGACGACGCGGCGAACGAAGCGCGCGCGCACCGTCGTTTCTGCTGCTGCGACGCGATCCGCGACTTGAGGCTGTCCCGCCGCGACGCGCCGCGACCGCTCATGACGCGCGAGCCTCGAGGGCGCTCCTCCGCGTGCGCGCGCGCGCGTCGATTCCCTCTCGCCGCCGCCGTCAATGAACGGACGCGCGCGACTTTTCGAGGGGAGATCTGAGTCATCACGCGCTTGCGCCGAGGCCTCAAGCTCAAGACCGTTTGAAACGCACCGCGGCCGCGCCGTCGTCACACCACCCGGCGCAGCACGTCGTCGCCGTCGCCGTCGTCGTCGTCGTCGTCGCCGCCGCCGCCGCCGTCGCGATGTCGCTCCCGTTCAAGCATCACGGCCTGAAGGGCGAGATCGTGATCACGGTCAAGGTCAAGGTCGCGTGGGGACGCGTCGCGGAGTTTCTGCGCGTCATGCGCGAGGACGCGCTCGAGAGCAGGAAGGAGCCCGGCTGCGTGTGCTTCCACGTCTCCGCGCTGGAGGGCGAGAGGGAGTTCATGTTCTACGAGGTGTACAAGAACGAGGCCGCGGTGACGAAGCACAAGGAGACGCCGCACTACGCGAAGTGGGACGCGTTCAGGAAGAGCCGCGACAAGGAGGGCGTCGTCGCGATCGAGAGCGAAGAGAAGGTCATCGCGACGGGGGTGTACATCGACGCGGTCCCGGTGCTCGGGCCGCTCGTGGGACGGCCGTGCAACGGGCCGCTGGACGCGCCGGGGTTGATGAAGAAGTGAGCGACGATGCGTTAGTCTACCGTGCGTTAAATCACGCGCCGCTACAGCGCGACACCGCTGTCCCGCGTCTCACGCCTCCGCCCACTTCGAGCCGCGTTTCTTCTCCTTCTTGTCCTTCTTCTCCTTCTTGTCCTTCTTGTCCTTCCCCGGGGTGACGTTCGCGTCCGCGTACGCGAACGTCACCGGCGGCGGCGGCGGCGCCTCGGGCGGCTTCCCCCACCCGAGCAGCGGATACGCCGCCCTCTCGACGTCCACCACCCGCGACGCGCGGCATCGCTTCCGCAACACGTGAAGAATCGCGCTCCTCGATCGGCTGTTCTCGCGCGTCTCCTTCTCGCTCGGACGCTTCGCGTCGTCCGCGGTCAACGCCCACCCGTCCGAGTTGGCGAGCGCGACCTCGGCGGCGACGGACGGGTGTCTGTCCTCGAGGAATCGCGCGAGCGGCAGGTCCGGTCGCGTCTCCTCGACGTGACGGAAGAAGTCCACGAGTATCGCGCACTCGCTGTGTTTCCACTGCGAAGGCGGCGGGGAGCGCGCGGAGAGACGACGGGAAGAAGGCGGTCGGACGTCAGTCGGCGGCGGTCGGGGTCCTTCGGGGGGGAGTGAAGCGCGCGACGCAATGTGTGCCTCCTTCCTCCGCGCGGCGCGCGCGTCAGTCTCTTCCTATCATGTGTTTGATGGATCATTATCGACCGCCGGATGTGTGGTCCGGTGGTTTCACGACATGGTTTAACATCACTCGCGGCGGCGGCGGCGGAGGAGGAGGAGGAGGAGGAGGAGGAGGGAAGGGAAGCGCCGAGCGAGAGAAAAAAAAAAACGCACCGTGAGCACGCCGAGCCGTCCACCGTCTTCCATGACCTCCACCGCCGCGCGCATCCCTCGGCGCATCTCATCAAACTCCTGATTGAGCTCGATCCGAAGCGCTTGAAACGTCAGCTTCGCCGGGTGCATCGCCTGGTACTCCTGCCCTTTCGCCCTCGCGACGAGCGACGCGAACGCCTTGGTCGTGGACGGCACCCCCTCGCCCGTCTCTCGCGCGAGACAGACGGCGTCCGCGACTCTTCGCGCCGCGGTCGCGTCCGCGGTCTCCCCGTACGTCTCGATCACTCGCGCGAGATCGTCTCTCTCCACGCGGCGTAAATAATCCGACGCCGGGATCCCGCGCGTGACGTCGAACCGGAGGTCGAGCGGGCCGTCTTGCTCCGGGCGGAATCCGCGGCTCGCGTCGTCAAACTGCGGGGAGGAAATCCCGAGGTCTAAGAAGACGCCGGCGACGACGACGCCTTTCGGTTTGAGCACGGTGTCCATGCATCCGAACGGGGCGTGGTGGATCGTGAACCGCGCGTCCTCGGCTTCGAGTTTCTTCGCTTCCGCGATCGCCTGCGACGTGAGGCGGACGGGTTGCGCGTCGAGAGAGGGTGAGGTCAACGCGAGCAGCGACGAGAGAAAAAAACGACGAGCGCGCCAGACGAGAGCCAAGCCGCCGAACCGCCGAACCGCCGTCGTCGCCGGAGAGAGATGCTCAATTTCTATGGGTGATTCGTTTGTCTTCAGGGTGTTGTTTAGGCACCGCTCCGCGAGAGGTTTCTTAGGCCTCGGTTGTGTTATCATCGCATCTCTCCGTTCGCGACGACGACGGCGACGACGAAAAAAAAAAACCAAAAAAAACCAAAAAAAAACCAAAGGGACGTCGTCGCGCACCTCGGGGTCCATGTCGAACGCGTGCAGCCTCCCCCGATTCGACAACGCGGCGAGTATCCCCCGCGAGTGCCCGCCTCTCCCGAACGTCCCGTCCACGTACACCCCGTCCCTGTTCGGCGCGACGAGCGCGTCGATCGTCTCTCTCAACATCGCCGGCGTGTGCGTCCCGTGCGCCTGGTCCGTGCCGCGCACGCCGTAGGTTCCCGTCTTGGCCGCGGTGATGGAGAGGTGCCTTCCGCCAAACCTTATCCCGTCCGCGGCGATCGCGGCGGCTCGCGCGGGCTCGGTCTGGAACGACACGAACCCGGCGCCCTTGCACTGCCCCGTGGCGGGGTTTATCAACAGCCGGACGTCGTCCTTTAACGGGCCGAATTTCGACTCGAAAAACGACGCGACGTCGCGCGCCTCGCAGTCGTGCGGCAGGTACTTCACGAACACCTCGTACCCGTCGCCGTCGGTGCCTTGCGTCGGCGCCTTGACCGCCGCGGGCGCGCCCGCGCCCTTGCCCGTCGTCGCCCCCATCGCGCTCGGAATGCTCGAGAGGAGCGCGCGCAGCGTGTTCGCGCCCTCGGACGTCGACTGGCCCGGCCGGGGAGCCGCCGCGGCGGCGGCGGCGGCGGCGGGCCGCGCGTCGTCGCCTCGCGGCGCGCCGCATCCGAAACAGGTCGTCCGCCGCGCGAAGTTCGTGGACCCGCACGCGCAGTGCCAGTCGTTCGCGCCGGTGTCGTGCCGCGACGCGCTCCCGGGCGGGGGTTTCCCGAACGGAGCGGTCACCGGGTCCACGCTCGGGTCCGCGCGCGGGGGCGCGGCGCGCGGCGGCGCGGGCGCGTCGAAACGCGGCGTCTCGTCCCAACGCGGCGTCTCGTCGCGCGCGTCGAAGACCCCGCGGCCGCCGCCGTCGTTCTTCGTGCCTCCGCGCAGGTGCTCGTCTCTCCCGCTCAGGCCGCCGTCGTCTCGCTCTTTCCCCTCCGCGACGATGTTCTTGATCTCTTGCACCGCCGCCATCACGTCCCGCCCCGTGACCTCGCAGACGCCGCGCTCCTTGTGAATGCGAAGGACGCACCCGGTGAGGTCTTCGATCTCCTTGATCTTCGCGCCGCCGCGACCGATGATGCGGCCGGTCTGGCCCGCGCACTCGACCATGACGGCCTCGCCGCCGCCGTGGCGTAACCCGCCGCGGCGCTGCTCCGTCCGCGGCGTCGGCGTCGGCGCGAACGCGGGCGGCGCCTCGGGCGGTTCCTCGACGTGCTCCGACACGACGATGAATCGCCCGACGAGTCGCGTCTCGTTGAGCTCGCGCACCGCCCTCGCCGCCGCCGCGCGCGAGGGCAGCGTGACGAACGCCTCGCCGTTCGTCTGCACGCCGACGTCGTACACGTCCACGCCGAAGTGGTCCGCGATCTTATCGCCCGTGATGGTCGCGACGAGGCCGGTGACCTTGACGGTCGTCGGCGCGCCGTCGTCGGCGGCGGCGGCGCCGCTCGCGTCGACGTCGTCGTCGCGTTTCGAGCGCTTCGGCGAGGCGGACTCGCGCTTGTCCTTCTTGTCCTTCTTGTCCTTCTTCTCTTTCTTCTCTTTCTTCCCGCCGTCCTCGTCGCGGTCGCGCTTCTTCGAGGATTCGCCCATCGCGGCGACCCGTGCTCGGCGCTCCGGAGCACTGCGCGCGCGATCCAATTCTCACGAGCGATCGATGATGCTGACCTAAAACTTCGACACTGAGACCGACTACTTCAGCTAGACTAGTACCAATCCACCCACTCGTCGCTCCGTCGCGGCGTCCGCTTCGACGCCGGCGCAGACGCGCGACCGTTCTCGTAATTCGCCTTGGCTATCAGCCCGTACAGCTCCTCCGCGACGAATCGCCACTCGTCGCCGACGCCGCCGCCGTCGAGTCTCTCCGCGACCTCCGTCAATCGCGTCGCCTGCCTCGGCGTCGTCCAGTGTATGGCCATCTCCGGGCATCGCCCGACGGCGAGGTGCATCGCGTACGCGTCGCCCTCGCGCCCGGGGGTCGCGCTCAGCGCGCCGTAGCTCGCGGCGCTCGGCTTGAACCTCGCCGCGCCGGTCTTTGGGTCGCGCTCGAACCCGGCGGCGTGCGTCGCGACGCAGCGGCAGTACTCCGGGCATCGCGTCACGCCGCGGCACGCGAACGGATTCACGAACGGCGTCGTCGCGGGTCCCTCGGGGGACTCGAAGGGGTCCGCGTCGTCGTCTGCGAGTCGGCGTCGAGCGGGGAGGGGGGGAGGAGGTCGCGACGGGTCACTTGGGGACGGCGGCGGGGATCGAGGAGAGCGAGCGCGCGAATGCGCGCGACGCGACGAGGCGGGCGGGACGACGAGACGAGACGAGATCGCGATGATGAGAGTTCGCCTCTTCGCGCACCCGCCCACGGAAACCTTTCGTCGACGCCGTCGCGTCCGCGGACGTCAGCGGCCGCGTCGTCCACGACCGCGACGTACGCGGCGACGATCTTGCGCGCGATCGCCTCGCCGTCGCCGTCGCCGCGGTACACGTCCGGGTGGTAGACTTTCATTCGCGCGCGGTACGCCGCCTTCGCCTCCGCGACCGATGGACCGTCGGGACCGCGAGAGGCGCGCGCCGTCTCGGAGACGCCGAGGACGTCCCACGGCGAGAGTCCATCGCGGAGGAGGTCGTCGTCGTCGTCGTCGTCGTCGTCGTCCGCGGCGTTCGACGCTCTCGCGCTCGTCGCGCGCGGTGGACGCGCGCGTCGTGCCGCGCGGCGCGGGCACCGGGAGGAGGGGGACGGCGCCCGGAGGGGACGTCCCGACGGCGCCGCGAACGCGCGCGCGCGCATCGATCTGACGACGTCGCCGATGACGCTGACGCAAGCGTGCGTCACGCGCGTCGGCACCCGAACCGTTGTCCTTCGAGAACCTTCCTTCCCGCGGGGTCCGCGTCGTCACAACCCCGCGCGCCTCTCGATGGAGGCCTCGCCCGCCCATCCCGGCGGCGACGTCGCGACCGTGCGCGTGACGTACCGCGGCGACGTCGTCGTCGCGACGCTCGCGCGCGACGCGACCGTCCGCGACCTCGGCGCGGAGCTCGAGCGCGCGACGGGCGCGTCGCTCGCGACGCAGAAATTGCTCGGCGTCAAGAGCGGACCTCGCGCGACCGCGGGCGTGCTCGTCCCGTCGCGCGAGGCGGACGGCGCGCTTCTCGTCGCCGCCGTGGCCGGCCTGTGCGACGCCGCGAAGCCGCTCATGCTCATGGCGACGCCGCGAGAGGAGATCCAGAGGCTTCACGACGCGGAAGGGGTGGACCACCGCGTCCGCGGGTTCGACGACGAGGCGAAGCGCCATCGACGACGGCAGCGCTCGCATCGCTCCAGATCCGGCGCGTCGGCGGCGTCCGCGTCGGGGCCGCCGTCCGCGGCGCTTCACCCGTACACGTTCGGCGCCTACCGCGCGCTGCCGATCCCGCCCGTCCTCCTCGCGTCCGGCGCTCCGCCGGCGTCCGCGGCGCTGTCGCTCCTGCACAGACTCGCGTCGGACCCGGGCGTCCTCGGCGTCATGCGAACGCACAAATGGAAAGTAGGCCTCCTCGCGGAGATGCCGCCGGAGGGGAAAGTCGGCGTCTCCGAGTCGTGCGTGCTCGGGTACAACGTCAACATGGGCGCGGAGATACACCTGCGGCTGCGCACGGACGACCTGCGAGGGTTTCGACGGTACGGACGCGTGCGAGAGACGCTGCTGCACGAGCTGACGCACAACGTACACGGCGCGCACGACGCGAAATTCAAGGCGCTGTGCTCGCGGCTGAACGTCGAGTGCGCGCGGTTCGATTGGAAGCGCGGCGGGAACGGCGCGGCGCGTCTCGGAGGAGGAGGCGGGGAGAGTATTGGCGGTTTCGCGTCGGACGGCGAGGAGTCGTGGTCCGAGGACGAGGCGATGGCGGCGACGAGGGCGAGCAGCGGGAACGCGTTGGGCGGCGGCGAAGGCGGCGGCGGCGGAGGTGAGACTGCTTTCCATACGACCCCGTTCGCGTGGTGCACGTCGTTCCTTAAGGACTTTTCCCGTCGTCACTCTTCACCCGCGCTTCCCTTTCAACGTTTGACCGGTAAGACGTTCGACTGACCGATCGCTTCACCCACGCAGGCGGAGTTTTGGGGTCGGCTGCGGAGAACGCGGCGAGGGCGGCGGCGGCGAGGGCAGCGGAGTGCGCGGAGCGCGAGATGGCCGATCTCGCGCGGGACGCGATAGACGCCGCGGCGGCGTCGTTCGACGGACGCGGCGGCGACGGAGGCGACGACGACGACGACGACGACGCGATGGAGGCGGGAGAAGAAGAAGCGGCGGCGGCTGTCGCGGCGGAAGAGGAAGGACGGTGCGACTGCGGCGCGTGCTCGGGAAGCGGCGGTCCCTTTCGGATTCCGCCGGCGTGCTTACGTCGACCCGCGAGCGAGCTCGGCGTCGTCGTCCCCACGGCGGACGTCGCCGCCGCGGCGCTCGCGGCGCCGGCGGCGGCGTCGGACGAAGAAGCAGAGTTCGAAACGGAAGCGAACGCGAACGCGGCCGAGGCGAGAGACGACGAAGCGCTCGCGGCGGTCGCGGCGTCGCTGGACTCGTCCGCGGCGGCGGCGCACGCCGCCGCGGCGGCCGTCGCCGAGCGCGCGGCGGCGGCGTGCGCGGCGATGTCGTCGTCCACGTCGGTCGTCTCCGAGGTTGTCGTCGCGCTGGACACGATCGCGCTCATCTTGGGCAACGCGCTGAGCGCGCCGAAAGGGCCGAGCGGGGATAAGTTTCGATGCATCAAGCAAAACAACCCCGCGTTCGTTCGCCGGGCCGGGCGTCTGCGCGGCTCGACGGAGTTGTTGCGCGCCGCCGGGTTCGCACCGAGCGGCGCCGACGGCGGGGAGTTGAAACTGACCAGGGACGACCCGGCGTTGCTGTACGTGGTGCGATCGGCGGTTTGCGACGCCGTGGAACGCGCGCGCGCGAGATGTTAGTCAAAGTTACAGTACGTGCATGCGTGTCGTGTACATGTAGCGGATAAATAAGTTTTATCACACTCGCTGCTCGCGTCGTCGACTAAGAAATAACAGAAGCTCACTGCGAGGAGGCGCCTTCTTTCAACGCGACGGACGCGTCGACGTACTCGTCCGCGAGGTTGCTCATGTACGGTACCATACTCTCCGGGGTGCCTTCCATGATCCGCGCCTTGCTCACGAACGACTGCGGCCCTTGCGGAGCGTCTCCTCCTCCGCCGCCTCCGGGTCCCCCCCCGCCCGCGCCCATGATGCCCGCCTTGAGCAACCCGAGGCGCATCTTCGTCGTCGCGTGCGCGGCGTGCGCGGAGGCTCGCGACTCCTTGTCCCTCTCCGCGGACTCCTCCAGCGCCGCGACGTCCGCGCTGAGCCTCGCCGCCTCGTCCGCGTTCTTCTCCGCGTCGTCGCGGTGCTTGTCCTTCATCGCGCGCATGGACGCGCCGACGAACTGCGCTTTCATTCGCCCGGCGCGCTCGTCCGCGGCTTTTTTCTCAGCCGCCGCCTTGCCCTCCTCGAGCTCATCCGCGCGCTGCTCGAGGGTGTAAATCGTCGTCTTCGTTTCCTCGAGCTCGTTCGTCTTTTTCTTGAGCTCCGCTTTCGTCTTCTCCAAGTCCTCCTTCGCGTCCGCGAGCTCTCTCAGCGTCTTCTCCAGCTCCGCTTTCGTCCTCTCCAGCTCCGCTTTCGTCGTCCTCAACGCCGCGAGCGTCGCCTTGAGCTCCGCGACGGCGCCGTTCGCCTTATCGATCGCCACCCTCGCGATGCTCGTCGACGCGTCGCTCCACTCCGCGAACGCGGTCGCGGCGCCGTCCAGCTTGTCGTCCACGCTCGCGGCGAACGTCGCGACGTTTTGAATCACCGCGTCCCACTTGGCGTCCTGCGCGCCGAACGCGTCGTCGACGCCGCGCGCCGTCGCCGCCGCGCCCGCAATCTTCGTGCTCTTCGGCGCCGCGCTGTCGCCGGCCGCATCCGCTTCCTCGACCGCGGCCGCGCGCAGCTTCGCGGCGTCCATGCGCGTGACGTTCTTGTCGCCGTCGACGAGGCGCGACGCGCCTCGGTCGTGCGCCTCGTCGGTTTTGATGATTTCTTTCTTCATCTTCTTCACCTGCTTGGACAACGCGTCGGCGCGTTTCTTTTGGAACTTGACCTCCTCCTTGAGCGTCGCCACCTCGGTCTCGAGCTCCTCGATCCTCGTCTCGAGCTCGGCGATCTTCGCTTTCAAGACGTCGAGCTGCTCGGTCAGCGCGACAATCTCCGCGGTGAGGCGGTCGTTCTCCGTCGTGAGGTGCGCCACCGTCGCCTCGAGGCCCTCCACCTTGGCCTCCGCGTCGTCCGCGCGCCGCTTCTCCTCCGCGAACTTCGCCTCGAACTCCTTCATCAGCGCCTTGAGCTCCTTCAGCTCCTTCTTCGTGGCCGCGAGCTCCCTCTCCGCCTCGTCCGCGCGGTTCTCTTGGTCGTACGCGCGCTCGATGGCGACGGAGAGCTGCATGTTATCCCCTCGCGTCTCCAGCTCCTCAACCTTCCTCTTCTGCTGCTCCAGACGCGTCGTGGTGTAAAACAGCCTCCCGACCGCGGACTCGTGCTTCTCCGTCATGTCCTTCAGCGACGCCGCGAGCGACTCCGCCTCGGCTTTCTTCTCCGCGAAGTCTTTCCTCGCGACGTCTCTCTGTTCCGTCGCCCTCGCCTCGAGTTCCTCCGCCTGCGCCGCGCGTGCGATCGCGGCGACGCGTTCCTTCTCCGCGCCCGACCGTTTCTCCCTCAAGAACGCGATGTCCGCCTTGAGCGTCCCCGTGATCGCCTTGGCGTCCTTCTCCGCCTCTCGCGCGGCGTGCTCGGTCGACTCGGCGACGGCGACGTCGTCCACCAATTTAACGCGTTCTCTCGCCCAGTTCGCCTCCGCGGCGGCGTACTTCTTCGCGGAGTGCTCGGCGACGTACTTCAACTCCGCGCGCAGCTCGCGCTCGATTCGGTCGCTCTCGGACTTGATCTCCGCGCGGATCGCGCCCTCCGCGCCGAGCGTCTCCTTCGTCTGCTCGAGCTCCGTCTCCAGGAATTCGCACTTTTCCCGCCACGCGTCGCGATCCGCCTCGCCCGCCTCCGCGCGCCGCGCCGCGTCCTCCGCGCGCCCCACGTACGGCGAGAGGCGCTCCATCTCCTCTCGCCTCGACGCGCTCTCCGCCCTGGCGCTCTCAAGCAGCGCGGTCGCCTCCGCGAGCTCGGCGCTGAGGCGGTTCACCGCCGACGTCATCTCGTCCAGCTCCGGCTCCACGGCGCGAAGACGTCCAATCTGCGACGGGAACGCCGCGCCCGCGGACGCCTCCCACGTCGCGCCGGCGACGCGCCACACCGCGTGCAGGCTCTCGTCCCTGCTGTCCTGGTCCGAACCCGCGAAGACTCTCGAGACGACGCCGTGGAAAGCCTCGTCGCATCCTTTCGCGTACTTGTAGATGGCTTTGTACAGCTGGATCGAATGCTCGGGGGACACGCCCGCGTCCACGAGCCGGAGCGGCGCGAGCGCGTCGAGGTCGGACGCGAGCGTCTCCGCGTCCGGGCACGCGGTCGCGAGCGCGCCGACGAGCTGCTCGTGCGCTAACACCGCGGTGGTCTGACGGTCGATCTCGGAATCGGACGCCTTCAAGAATCGCGCCTCGTCGTCCGCGTCGTTCGCGGCCGCCGACGACTTCACCCCGGCGTCGAACGCGCCCTCGTACTTCCGCGCGAGGTCGTCGTTGGCCTGAAGGAACTTCGTCAGCGACGACGCGCCCTGCGTGAGGGAGGGAGAGGAATCGACGACGAGGTGAGACGGGGCGGCGGACGGCGGAGGGAGCCTGAGGGACGGCGCTTGAAGGATCTCGGAGGAGGATCGGATCGCGCGAGAGGTCGTCGAAATAATGCGATTCGATCCGATCGATCCCCCGGGCGGAGAGGCGCGGAGGACGCACCCGAGTGAGCCCGCGCGCGACCGTCGGCGACGGGGCCTCGCCCGCGAACCGGGTCTCGCTCGCGAAGCGCGTCTTCACGGGAGCGACCATCCTCGCGTGTGCGCGCGGTCGAGCGCGCGCGACGCGAAGAGTGCGCGAGCGACCTTAATTTGGTCGCGACTCGTCACCCTCGAAGATTGGCCCTCGACGACGACTGCCAGACTGCGAGACTGGACGTGGACGCCGACCGCGACCCGCACGCGACCGCCGCCGACCGATCCCTGTCATCACTCCCCACCTCGCGATGGCGCGCCAGCTCGCGTGCGTCCGAAGCGTCTCGATGTGGCGGCGGCTGCTCTCCGCCGAGGCGAGAGCCGTCGGTCGGCGCGTCGCGTCCGCGTCCTCCGCCGCGTCCGCGTCCGCCGCGCCGTCGTCGCCGTCGTCGAAATCGTCGCGCCGGCAACATCATCATCGACGTCATGGTCATCGTCATCATCCCCGAAGTAATCTCGCGAGTAACAACGACGCGTCGCGCGTCGCGTGGACGACCGTCGCGCCACCGCGGGAGACGACGCGTCGCGACGTCTCGAGCACGACCGCGGCCGCGCACACCAACTACGACGACGACGCGCGCGACCTGGCGTACCCCGAGATCGAGGGCGACCTGCGCGTCACGAGCACGGACAACGCGCAGGTGAAGCACTTCGCGAAGCTCGTGAAAAATCGCGCGTATCGCGACGAGAAACGATCCGTCGTCGTCGCGGGCGGGGACCTCCTGACGGAGATCTTCCAAGGCGCGGGCGGGGACCAGCTCCCGGACGCGGACGTGATGTTCGCGCGCGACGACGTCGAGGAGCTGCCGAGGGGCGTCCGCGCGAGGGTCGTGATTCGCGCGCCCGAGCACGTCGTGAAAAAAGCGTCGGGGCTGCGATCCGCCGACGGCGTCGACTTCGTCGCGTCGCTCGCGATGCCGTCGATCGTCGGCGCCGGCGCGCTGACCGCGAGCTTCGACCCGAAGACGAAGCCGATCAGGAGGGTCTTAGCCCTGGACGGGATCCAAGACCCGGGCAACTTGGGCACGCTGGTGCGGACGTCGCTCGCGCTCGGGTGGGACGCCGTCGCGCTGCTGCCGGGGACGTGCGACCCGTTCAACGACAAGGTACGCTTCGCGTCGGACAATGTCCGACGTTTTGTCCGACGTTTTTTTCCGACGACCACACCGCTCCGCGCGCTGCTTCCTGTCTCGCCCTCTTCGCCTTCCGCACGGTATTTGTCACGCCGCGCACGCCGTCGTCGTGGCTTCGCGGTCCTCTGCGTTTACGCACCCGTGCGACACGAATGCATTTTCCGCGACCGTCGCTGAGCGCCGTTCGACGCGCTCGCGACGCGGATCCTTCCGCCGTGGAAAACAAATCAAATCCCGAAACCGCCCGCCCGCCGCGATAGACGCGTCTCTCTCGCGCCCGTCTTCTTCGTCCTCGCGACGTCGGTCGGTCGCCGGTCTCGCGCTCACCCCGCGCTCCTCCTCCTCCTCGGTTTCAACACTTGATCGAGTCTCCTTTCAACTGACCGATGAACTACTCTTCCGCCGTCCGCCGTCCGTCCGCGCGCGGCCAGGCGCTTCGAGCGGCGCGGGGCGGCGTGTTCCGCATCCCCATCGCGCGCCTCGGATGGGACGAGCTCGTCGACTTCACGGACGCGCGAGGGCTCGCGAGGTACTGCGCGGACGCGACCGCGGCGAACGCCGTCGACGCGAAGGAGGAATCCGAAGACGGGAGAGGCGTGTGCTTGGTTCTCGGAGCGGAGGGAAGGGGGTTGTCCGCGGAAGCCCTGGGCGGGTGTCAGCCCGTGAAGGTGCCGATGCCGGGGGAGATGGAGAGCCTGAACGTCGGCATCGCGGGCGGGATCCTGATGTACGTCATGCGGAAGTGAAGCGACGATCGTGGCTGGTTACTCGACTTGCGCGAGATTTAAAAAAATACGTAGCATCCATCGCGGACCGCGGCGTCACCGGTACGACGACGCCGAGTGCCCCACGCGTCTTCTGCCCACGCGCGCGTCGTCCTCGTCCGGCCATCGCGCGGGAAAGTACCGCGCCCGCGCTTTCGCGGCGAGAGACCCGACGACGAACGCGCCCACGATCATCGCGGTGTTCGCGAGCACTTCCCCGGCTTCCGGCGCGGCGGCGGCGTCTTCCAGCTCGGCGTCTTCGTCCTCGGCGTCAACTTCGGCGTCTTCCGGCTCGGCGGACCTATCGGCGAGCGCCGCGTGGAGCGGCGACGGCGGCGCGCGGGCTCTGTATTCGACGCCGCCGCCGCTTCGCCGCCGCCGCCGCCGCGTCGCCGTCCCTCGCGCGCCAGCGAGCTCGCCGAGCGCCGATCCGAGGCGTCTCGCGAGCCCGACCGCGAGCCCGACGATCCCGCCGCCGCGCCGCCTCTCTCTCATCTCCTTCCTCCGCCGTCGCCGCGTCGCGTCCTCTCTCCGCGCGACCCACTCCTCCGCCATCGCCTCGTCCGTCGTCTCGCTCGCGAGAAACTCCACGACGTCCCGCGGCGCGTCGTACGTCCGCGCGAGCGTAACGGGCAAGCACCCGCGTTTGTCCATGCACGAGACGCTCTCGGGAAACGTCCGCACGAGAAGTTCGACGCTCTCGAGCTCCGCGCGGTACCCCGCGGCGAGGTGAATCGGGAGGAACCCTTTCTTATCCCTCGCGGTCGCGCCCGTCGGGTTCGCCTCGAGCAAACACTCGATCACGAGCGGGTCCGCGTTGTGTTTGCACGCCGAGTGAATCGGAAGGTCGCCCTTGTGATCGACGCGTTCCGCGCCCCTCGGGTGCGCCGCGAGCATGGCGATCACCTCCGTCATCTCCGCGCGTCGCTCGATCGCGGCTTGCAGGCGCGGGTGCGTGCTCGCGTGCTTCTTCCTCGCCGGGAACAGCGCGGCTCTCACGCGCTCGCCGACCGCGCCGGTGAGGCCGACGACGTCCGTGCGGTCGGACATCCGCGACGCGACGTCGAAAGCGGCGACGTCGTTCGCCGCCGCCGGCGGCGCGTCGCGCGCGCCCGTCGGCGAACGCGGCTGCGGCGTCGAGCGCGGGGACATGTTTAAGGACCGGCGCGCGGGGTTCTCTCGCGGCGGCGACGGCGCGACGGTCTTCCCGCGCCGCTCCGGGCTCTTCGCGGGCGATCGATACAGAGCGCTGTCGCGAAACGGCGACGCGACGGCGCCCTCGGGGACGGGCGGTAAACCCCCCGCGCCTTTCTCGACGACTCGCGCTCTCTGCGGCGGCGACGCGGGCGCGGCGGCGGCCGCCGCTTTCTCGCGCGCCTTCTCTTCCTTCTTCTTTCGCTTCGGCGACGTCGGCGGCGTCGGCGCGCGCGTCGCCGCCGTCGCCGTCGGCGCGCGCGTCGCCGCCGTCGCCGTCGCCGTCGCCGTCGCCGCGGGTCCCCCCCACGGCTCCGGCGCGTCCACGCTGACCCTCGCGCTCGCCGCTCTCGCCTCCGCCTCCGCCGCCGCCGCGGCTTTCGCCTCCGCCTCCGCCGCGCGCGCCGCCGCGAGCGCCGCCTCCTCGGCGGCGAGCGCCTCCGCGGCGGCGGCTTCCTCTCTCGCCGTCGCCGCGGCGAGCTCCGCCGCGAGCGCTTCCTCCTCTCTGCGGGTCGTTCCGCGCGAGCGAACGTCGGGGTGGAGTTGAAAGGCGTCAGAAGCGGAGTTGTGAGGCGTCGCGGGCGGGGAATGAAACCGAGGGACCCTGGGCGGAGAGATGCGCCGGGAAAAGTCCTTAAGGATCGGCGTTCACCGCGCCGACGCGGTCGTATGGGGACCAGTCAGTGCGTCGTAGAACGCGCCTGCGCGCCCTCTCCCTCGCCGCCTCGCGCTCCGCGCGGTCGTCCCTCAGTCGCTTCACCGCGGCTTTGACGTCCTCGGAGGCTTGTCTTCTGAACGCGTCTTTGGACGCGCGGGATACGAACGACGACGCGTCGCTGGAACTTCGCGCGGAGTTGGACGTCGACGTCGACGGCGGCGCCGCCGCCGCCGGGTCGGTTTTGTTCGCTCCGAGGCGCGACGACGTCTCGCCGATCCTCCCCGCTCCCGCGGCGGCCGCCGCGGCTTCTCTCTCTCGGTCTCCTTTCGTCTTCCCGTCCTTCGCGAGCTTCCGCGACACGAGCTTCTTGAACGATACCTTCTCCTTCGTCGGGCTCGGCGGCGTCGCGGGCGCGGCGGGCGCGGACGTCGTCGCCGCCGCCGCGGCCGTCGCCGTCGTCTTCCTCGGGGAGTCGGACGCGGACGAGTGCGGTCGGTTCTCCGCGTCCGCCGCGGCGGCCGCGCGCGCCTGCTCCGCGGCTTTCCGAAGACGGTCGCCTGTTCGCGCGCGCAAAGGGGAGGGGATGAGGAGGTCGAGAGGCGACGACGTCGTGAGCGAGCGGACATCGCGAGTGAGCGCGCGTCGCGGGCGGCGCGACGGCGAGGACGAATAATAATCGGATCTCGCGCGAGTTTTAAATCTTTCGTACCTTTCGTCATCCCGTCCTTCGAGAGCTTCCTCGAGACGAGCTTCGAGAACGACACCTTCTCCTTCTTCTTCGCGGGGGCGGGATCCGAGGCGGACGATCCCGCGGATCCCGCGGGCGCGGTCATGACGATCTCAGCGCCCGGGACGAGCGCTAGCCCTCGCTCCGCGCCGCGCGCGACGTTTTTGAACGAATGCGTGTGTGTGTGTGCGTGAATATTGCGGGTGCATCAGTTTCAAATCGCCGAGATCAAAAAAGAGCATCGGTCAGTTGATAGGGGCAAGATCAAATGTTGAAACCGAGCGGTGGGTGAAACGGACGCCCCGCTGATGTTTCGGAGACGAGCCAGGCGGGGGCGCGCGGCGCGGCGCTTTTTTGCAGGCGAGAACATTTCGCGCCTCCACAGAGGAGAGACGCGGGACGCGTCAGGGCGCGCGCGATCGAACGCGTCGGACGCGCAGACGGCGAGCAGATCCATCGCACACGTCAGGAGACTCGCGCGCGGCGCCGCCCGAGCCCCCTAAACGCACGCCGTCTTCCACGATGCCGCTCGTCAATCGCCCGGTGGTGCGCGTCGGAATATGCGCGATGAACAAAAAAGCGAAGAGCAAGGCGATGCGCGAGATCTTGACGCGTCTGGAGAAGTACGGCGAGTTCGAGATCATCATCTTCGGGGACGAGTGCATCCTGCAGCAGCCGATCGAGGAGTGGCCGATCGTGGACGCGCTCATCTCGTTCTTCAGCGACGGGTTCCCGCTGGCGAAGGCGCAATCGTACGCGACGCTCCGCGAGCCTTTCGTCGTGAACGACCTCGAGACGCAGTGGGACCTCCTCGACCGACGCGTGGTGTATAAGACGCTGCAGGACAACGACATCCCGGTCCCGCCGCACATCGTCGTGAACCGGAACGATCCGGTGACGCGCGGGGTGATGCCGTCGCACGACGCGGTCCGCGAGGCGCCGCATTTCGTCGAGGCGGAGGACTACGTTGAAAACGACGGCGTGCGCGTGTCCAAGCCGTTCGTGGAGAAGCCCGCGAACGCGGAGAACCACAACATATGCATCTACTACCCTCACACCGTCGGCGGCGGGTACAAAGCGCTGTTCCGGAAGATTGGGAACCAAGCGTCGAAGTATTACCCCGCGCCGCCGCCCGGGGATAACAATCGGCCGTACTCGCTCGTGAGGCGCGACCAGTCGTTCATCTACGAGGACTTCATGTCCACGGGCGGCACGGACGTCAAGGTGTACACCGTCGGGCCCAACTACGCGCACGCGGAGGCGAGGAAGTCGCCGGTCGTGGACGGGCGCGTCCAGAGAGACGCGAACGGGAAAGAGGAGCGGTTCCCGGTGCTCTTAACCCCGGATGAAAAAGAAATCGCGCGACGCGTGTGCCTCGCGTTCGGGCAGATGGTCTGCGGGTTCGACCTGCTTCGCACGAAAGGCCGGTCCTACGTCTGCGACGTGAACGGGTGGTCGTTCGTGAAGAACAGCACGAAGTATTTCGACGACGCCGCGCTGTGCTTGCGGGCGATGATATTACAGGCGGTGGCGCCGCATCACAGCAAGACGATCGCGGCGGAGAGGGCGGCGGCGGCCACCACGGGCGAGGCGGAGGAGGCAGCCTCGCTTCTCGGCGGCGACCGCGACGATGTCGGCACACCAGGGAACAACAAGAAGGGGGAGAAGCACAAGGGAAAGAAAGAGGAGCTCCGAGCCGTGCTCGCGGTCATCCGGCACGGCGACAGGACGCCGAAGCAAAAGATGAAGATGCGCGTGAAGGACCAGCCTCTGCTCGACCTGCTCGCGCGGTGCACGCACGGACGCGCGCGGAAGCAGGCGAAACTGAAGACGCCGCAGCGACTGCAGGAGCTTCTGAACATCTGCAGGGAGCTGTACGCGACGAGGCTGACGGAAGGGCCGAAGAAGGACGACGCGGAAGAGGGGGGAAGAGGGCGAGAGGACTGGGACGAAGAGGTGGATCAGTGGAAGCAGGTGGTGTCCATCTTGCAAGAGGGCGGGCACTTCAGCGGGATCAACCGCAAGGCGCAGCTCAAGCCGCTGTCGTGGGACCCGATCCCAGAGAGCGAGCGCGCGCCGCCGGGGCCGGACGGGAAGGAGGGGCCCTCCGAGAAGGTCACGGAGGCGCTCCTGATTCTCAAATTCGGCGGCGTGCTGACGCACTTGGGGAAGAACCAGGCGGAGTTTCTCGGGAGAGATTTTCGCATGCGGATGTATCCGGGCGGGAATTACTACGACCACGGCAACGGCATCGCGGACGGCCTTCTGCGCCTTCACAGCACGTATCGACACGACCTGAAGATTTACTCCTCGGACGAGGGAAGAGTGCAGATCACCGCCGCGGCGTTCGCGAAAGGTTTACTAGACCTCGAGACGCAGGACGACCAGCTCACGCCTATTCTCGCGTCGCTCGTGAACAAAGACGCGAAGCTCTTAGACTTCGTCACGCACGAGGTCGAGGAGGATATCCTTCACGCGAAGCAGAAGCTGTACAACATCATGACCGAGGGGAAAGGCGGTCGGAGCGGGAAGACCGCGAGGGGAAAGGAGTACAGCACGTCGGACACGGCGCTGAACGACGACTTCGAACGCTCCGGCCCCGTCGGTTACGCCGGGAACAAGACCAAGCCGGCGATGTCCCCGATGCGGATCCCGTCGCCGCCGCACGGGTCGTCGCCGCGACGACGGTCCATGGACGGCTCGACCAGCCCCAGCGCGCCGGGCGGCGGCAGGAACGGCGCGGTGACGGACGAGATGCTCCTCGCCGCGGATCGAGAGAGGTCTCTGCGGTCCGCGCGCCGAGCGGTGACGAGTGCGGCGGCGAATAAGATGGCCGGGTCGTTCAAGAAAAAGTTGGACATATCCGTGCCCGGCGGCGACGGCGATCTGCCGACGGTGGAGGAGAGCGCGGACGCGTGGGCCGCCGCGGGCGCGGGCGCGGGCGGCGCGTCGGCGGCGTCGTCGAAGCATACCTCCGCGGGGGATCTCGAGGCGATCGGCGTCGACGCGGCGACGGCGGGGAAGGCGGAACGTCCGAAGCCGCGCTCGGCGCTCGGCGAGGGTTTAGGGTTGGCGAGTGTGGTCGACCTCCCGGAGCCGCCGGGCGTCTTCCCGGAGCCGCCGTCCCCGAAGGGCCCTCACGCGCCGAGGAACTCGTGGAACGCGGGCATGGCGAAGGAGGTGAGCAAGTCGCGCCTGTCCATGGGGCTCCCCGAGGACGTGGAGCCGTCCCCCGGCGGGTCCCCGAACTCGCCGCGCGGCGCGAGCGCCGTCGCGAGACAGCTCGCTCGTCTCAAAGAGAGCGCGTCGACGGACAGCCTGCTCAACGGCGGAGAAGACGTCGCGGACGACGCGCCGCGCGGCGGCGGCGGCGGCGGCGGCGGCGGCGACGGCGACGTCAGCGAAGGCGGCGGCGGCGGCACGGACGCGGAGGCGTCGTGCGATTCGAGCACAAAGTCCGTGGAAGGGTCGATCTCGCGTCGCCCCCCCGGCGTGCCCCCGGAGTCGCTCAAGCTGCTCCACATGATGGTCGACCTGATCCAAGTCCTGACGCGACAACTCCGCGACCAGTGCTTCGAACACGCGAACAAAAAGAGCGTCGGATCGCCTGGGGAGGCGACGTGGGTCGAAACCCTCGCCGCGCTCGCGCCGCGAGGCAGCCGCGGCCTCATCGACGCGCACGGCCCCGCGGGCGGGGAGTCGTTCCTCCTCATGCACGCGCGCTGGAAGAAGCTCGAGCAGGACATATATCACCCGAGGAAAAACCGGTTCGACATCTCGAAAGTGCCGGACGTGTACGACATGGCGAAATACGACGCGATTCACAACCCGCACCTGAACCTGGACGGTCTCGAGGAGCTCTATCGCGTCAGCAAGTGCCTCGCCGAGGGCGTCGTCCCGAACGAATACGGCACGCACCCGCCGAGTAAGCTTCGCATCGGCGGCACGATCGCGCACTCGCTGCTCGTGAAGCTGCTGCAGGACATGTTCACGACGAGAGAGGAGTCGTTCGTCGGGCTCCCGGGGTTCGGCGGCTCCGGCGCGAGCACGCCCCCGGAGCTCGCGGGGAAGGACGCGAAGGAGAAGCTCGAGCGGAGGTCCAATCTCGGTCCGGGCGGTGGGAGCGGGAGCGGGAGCGGGAGCGGCGGCGGCGGCGGCGGCGGCGGCGGCGGCGGCGGCGGCGGCGGCGATTCCTCCTCGACGACGCCCGCCGCCTCCGACGCGAGCGGCGGCCAAACTCGAACGTCGAACGACGGCGCGGGGGTCCCAGACCTCGCGGCGGACGGCGGCGCCGCAAAAGAAGAGTCCAACGACCCGAGGAAGGAGGACGAGGACGACGACCTGAAGGCGCTCAAGGAGGAGGAGGAGACGGAGCTCTCCACGACGCGTCTGAACCATAGATACGCCAACACCGTCGGCGTCAACTCGCCGCATCGGCACGTTCGGACGCGCCTGTACTTCACCTCCGAGTCGCACATCCACTCGCTGCTCAACGTGTTGCGGTACTGCAACCTCGAGGTCGCGCAGCGGATTCGGATGATGGAGCATGGCGCGTGCGTGAACGCGGCGAACGCGAACGGCGGCTCGCCGGGGCCGCCGCCGACGCATCCGAACGCTTCCGATCACGGCGGGATGCCGCCGTCTCTGCTGTCGCATCGTCTCGAGACCCTGGAGGGCGTCGGCGATTTGGACTACCTCACGCACATCGTGTTTCGAATGTACGAGTGCTTCGACGTCCCGGCGACGGACCCGAAGCGGTTCAGGATCGAGATTTTGCTCTCGACGGGCGTCGGGTTGGACCCTTTCAAACAAGACGTCATCGCCGAGTTTAAAACCGCCGCGGAGAACGCGAAGAACAAAGAAGCCGAGGCGAAGAAACCCAAACGCGGGAGCATCGACGGCCGGGAGACGGAGTACAAGCTTCCGGTGTTGAAAAAGTCGCCGATCCACAACGATCGCGCGTGCGTGAGCGCCGCGGAGGATAAGAAGGGCGCCGCCGCCGGCGCGGCCAAAGAGGATGGCAAAGAGACCCCGCTCCCGGCGGAGTACCTGACGTTGAACGCGCTCGAGACGTACCTGTGGAAGTTTCGCCGAAAGTACCGCGACGGCGACGCGCGCGGGTCGGACCCTAACGCGTATCAGTCGCAGTCCGAGTGGTCGTCGCCGACAAAGCTCGCGAGCGACGGGTCTGCTGGCGTCGGCGGCGGGAACTCCGTGAAGGCGTCCCCCGCGGTGAAGGAGAAGAAGGAGAAGAAGGAGAAGAAGGAGAAGAAGGAGAAGCGGAAGAAGGCGGACGACAGCGACAGCGACTAGTCGACTCGGCGAGCGTCCGGCCGCGCGGCGCGGCGTGCCTCTCTCTGATCGATTCGATTCGATTCGATTTTGATTTTCTTTTTTTTCACATGCGCTCTATACACATGCACGCACAACAAGCGCTCGCCTGCCTCGTCGCGTCCCGCACCCGACTATCCTATCCATCCACGATTTTCTCCGCTCTCCTCTCGTGTTGAAATGCCTCTCCTCTCGCCCTCCATCTCCCGTATCCGTCTCCATCTCACTCCTCCCCGTCGCCTTCGTCGCCGTCCGTGATGTCGCTCGTCCAGAGCGTCAAGTTGTCCCTCAGAAGCTGCATGATGAGCGTGCTGTCCTTGTAGCTCTCCTCGCTCAGGGTGTCCAGCTCCGCGATGGCGTCGTCGAACGCCTGCTTCGCGAGCGCGCACGCCTGCTGCGGCTTGTTCTGAATCTCGAAGTGAAACACGGAGTAGTTGAGCGCGAGGCCCAGGCGAATCGGGTGCGTCGGCGGCAAGCCCTTGTCCGGGGCGTCGTCGCGCGCGATCTCGCTCGCTTGCTCGTACGCCTCCGCGGCGAGCCCGGCGACCCTGGCGCGCTCGTCCGAGGCGAGAAACTCCGCGAGGTAACGGTAGTAATCGCCCTTCATCTTGTGGTAGAACACCTTGCTCTCGTCCGACGCCGCCGGGGTGATGAGGTTATTGTCCAGGATGCTGAGAATCTCTCCGCAGATGTCGTTCAGCTCCTTCTCTACTCTCCCGCGGTACGACTTGATCTGCGCGCTGTTCGCCTCGTGGTTCTTCACGCGTTCCTTGTCCTCGTTTGAGGACAGGATGCGCCACGACGCACGCCGCGCGCCGATGACGTTCTTGTACCCGACGGACAGCAGGTTGCGCTCCTCGATCTGACGGGGAGAGAGAGGAGGGAGGGAGGGCGGGCGGGAAGAGGGCGGGATGATGAGAGGGAGGCGCGCGAGAGAGATGGATGGATTTCGCGCTGACGGATGGATTTGATCGATGGATTTGATCGATGGATTTGATCGATGGATTTGATCGATGGATTTGATCGATGGATTTGATCGAATGAACGATGAAGGACGAACGCGAGCGTGAATAATATAATGTCACTTCGGCGGGTCGGTCGATCGATCGTCGCGACGGGACGCACCGAGAGCTCCACGGCGTCGAGCTTGCACAGGGCCTTCATGGACTCGACCATCTCTGTTGAGCGTTCGCGGGACGAGGGCGAGGAGGGGGTCAGACGAGTCGCGGGCGTGGACGCGCGCGCGAAGACGGCGGTCGCGATCGTTCCGCGGAAATGCCGCTTCGCGACGACGCATCGCGAGTTTTCGACGCTTCGAGCGCGCGCGGGGCACCTCGCGGCGCGAGGCGACGCGACGCTCCGCGCCGCGACGCCGCCGCGGGTTCGATCTCGCCGCGCGCCGCCGCCGCGAACGCGCGCGCGGACCCCCGGGGGGGCGCGCGTGCGGTCGCGCCAGGGCGCGAATCCGACGCCCGCGATCGAGCGAGGGTTGGCACCGCGTCGAATTCAATAAGCCGCGTGCGCGCGCGAAAGCGCGACGACGAACGCCGAACGCACCGTCGTAGCGCTCGGCCTGCTCCGCGAGCTTCGCCGAGTAGACGAGACGCTCACGCTCGGTGAGGGTTCCGTCGGACATCGTGTCGCGTGTTTGGGGGTTTCGTGCGTCGCGCGCGCGTCAAACAGTGCTTCTCCGCGTCGAGGGATGCACGCGCGACTCGCATCGCGCGTGTACAGTTATTTCGATACCAGAAGAGGTTCCCTGGAATCTGCAAGACGAAAAATAACAATTTTGGGAGTCATCCTGATGTCGTACGAGGCGCGCGAGATACGGCGCGTCGGCGACGTCGAGACGACGCAACACGATGATAACACACGCCGCCCGCGCTATCGACACTCGAGCTCCTCACTTCTCCGGGGTGTCGTACAGCCCGTCGATCGTCCCCGCCGCGGAGGACCTCCCCGCCGTCGTCTTCTTCATCTTCTCCTCGAGAAACGCGCGACCTCTCGACAGCTTGCTGTCCACGGAGTCCGGGGTCGTCCCTCCGGGCGTCGCCTCGGGCGTCGCCGCCGCGGCCGCGGTCGCTACCTCCTCCCCCTTCTTATCATCCTCCTCCTCCGCGCGCTGCTGCTGCTGCTGCTGCTGGAGCCGTCTCTCCGTCGCGTGCGCGAACGTCGCGGCGCGTTCCTCCCGGGACTGCGGAGGCGGCGGCGGCGGTTTAAGCGGCGGTTTCGCCGGCGACCCCGCGGGCGACGCCGGCTGGCTCCTCGACCGCTGCGGCGGTAACCGCGCGCCCAATCCCGCGGGGGTGGTCTTCGGCGGCGGCGACGTCGCGACCGGCGCGGGAATCGCGAAGGACGACGGCGCCGCCTCGCGCGCGGATTCTCCGCCGCCGCCGCCGAGCCTGCGCCCCGCGCCGCCGCCGCCGCCTGAACCGCCTGAACCGCCGCCTGAACCGCCGCCGCTCCCGAACGCGTGCGTTCTGACCCTCGATATCATAGCGTTCATCGAGGAATCTTCCCGCGCGGGTCCCGCGCCCGCGTGGACACCACCCCCGGCGTTGAACGCGTCGTTCGTCGTAGGCAGCCCCGGCCCCGCGGCGGCGCACGACACGTACCCCCGCGTCCTCGTCACCGCGTCGAAGACGCTCAGACGCTCGATGCGCGCGAACGTTTCAGGGTCCGAGGGCATCACGGCGTCGAGCTTCCCTCGCGCCCACGCGACGCCGACGCCGATCGCGGCCGCCGTCTCGAGCTTGTTCGCGCCGAGGAACGAGAGGACGACGAAGGTCGCGAGGGGCGTAAACGTCGTCTTAATCTGAAACATCCCGAACACGCTCACGACGCCGTCCCTCCCCGCGGTCTGCGCGCTGCGCGTCATCAACACGACGAACGCGACGACGATCCCCGGGCCGCTCGTGAACGCGGGGGAGAAGACGCCGCCGAAGATGGGCGAGAAGAAGAGCGCCGCCGCGCACGTGGCCGCGTTGGTGAGCGCGATCGAGACGAGAAAATACGACGCGACGCGCACCGTCCCGCGCTCTTGCTCCCACGCGCTCGCGACGCGGTGCAGCGCCAGCGTCAAGAGCGCCGCGCTCAAGAGCCCGGGGACGTACAAGATGGAGAGGAACAGACGCCAGAATTGCATCCGGCGGAGGATGTCGTGCGGCGACGCGCAGACGAGATCGTCGAACCCGAACGGATTCAGGAGGACGCTGACCCAGACCGCGGCGATGAGGTGCCGCGTGAACGCCGGCGTCGCGTTGAAGCGCTCTTGGAGCTGCGTCGCGAGCGTCATCGGGGGTGCGCGTACTGTATGGATGGGGGTGAACGCCGGCGGCGACGACGCGACGCCGCGCGCGAGGGGTATCTCGTGCTTCGAATGGGATTCCAGTCGCACTCGATCGATCAGATGCTGTCAATCATCATCAAGTTTCGTCTCGCCGCCGCTCCTCGTGAGACCGGGGCGCACGCGGGTGGCACGGCGACGCGCGCGCGATGCGTCCGCTCGTCGTGGACGCGCTGAACATCCTGACGTACTTCCTCCCCTTGGACCTTCGAGGGGAGTGCGACCCGTGGGCGATGATGCGCGCGATGAAAGCGCGCGTGGACGCGTTCCTTCGCGCGTGCGAGAACGCCGAGATCGCCCCGCACTTCGTCATCGACGCGGGGTGGCAGAGCGACGAAGCGGCGGCGAAGTGGACGAAGCGACGCGAGGCGGAAGTCCGCAGACACGAGCGCAGGATACCCCTCAGCGCGGACACGTTCCTCGCCGACTTTCTCCGCGCGGCGAACGCGCCGGTGTACATGGTGGACGGGAAAGACGGCGACGACGTCGCCGCGAGGCTCGCGCACGAGCTCGGCCCGGACAGCCTCGTGCTGAGCGCGGACCGCGACATGTTTCGATACGAATCGTTCCTCACGAACGCGCGCGAGAGGGTCAAGGCGGACTTCGCGTACGTCGCGGTGCCCCGGGGGAAGAGTCGCGCGGGCGCGAGCGGCGGCGGCGGCGGCGGCGGGGGGGGCGGACGCGCGTCCGGCGGCGGCGGCGCGTCTTACGCCATCGCGTTCTACTCCGCGCCGCCGGAGAACCAGGTCGTCAAGCCCGGGTGCGAGCCGCGGGGGTTGTCGGACACGCCAGAGTACGCGCCGGAGGAGTGGCGGCGGCGGCGGTGTAAGATCAGAGCCGCGCTGGACGCGATGGAGACGGAAGAGAGGGAGGGCGGCGGCGGCGGCGGCGGCGGCGGCGACGGCGACGGCGTCGGACCGCGACCGCCGCGAGGGTACGTGCGAGGCGCGTGCTCGCCCGAGACGCGGCGGCACGGCAACCTCCACGGCATCGCGCGCGCGCTTCGCGTCGCGACGTATCGACGTCTGGGAACCACCGCGAGGGCGGTGTACGAGCGATATCCGGAGTGGTGCGCGGAGGCGGACGGCGTGCGGTGGGAGAGCGGTCGCGTGCTCTTGTCCGACGCGGAATCGGACGACGCGGAATCGTCGGAGACGTTCGACGCGTTACGCTCCCCGCGCGCGGCGCTGGAGTGGCTGACGAGGAAGGACCCCGCGGTCGCGGCGGGTCGCGGCGGCGACGACACGATGCGCGGGTTCTCGAGGTACGCGCTCGTCGCGGAGCTGTTCGCCGCGATCGATCACGACGCCGACGCCGACGCCGACGCCGACGCCGACGCCGACGCCGACGGGAAAAAAAATGGCGGCGTGCTCGGAAAGCTTCGAGAGATGTGCGGCGGTCGACTCGACGCCGCGAACGAGAGCGCGCGCGCCGCGCTCGAGATGGGCGCGTACGTCGCGAAGCTCGAGCTGAGGTGCGTCGAGCGCGGGTGCGGCGCGGCGTTTTTCGTTCCGGAAGGCGAGAGGAATTTTCTCGTCGAGAAGGGGTACTCGCTTCCGAAGAGGTGCCGCGCGTGCAGAAAGGAGAAGAAACGCGCGGGGCAGAGTCCGAGTCCGAGTCCGAGTCCGAGCGCGAGCCCGGGGAGAGGGAGAGGACGCGCGGCGGGCGCGAGTCCTTGTCCCGGTGGTCGAGGGCGCGGGCGGGGTGGACGCGGGCGCGGCGCGGGGACGTCGCCCGCGTCGACGCCGTCGCCGTCGCGTCCCGACGCGAAGCCGTTCGCGCTCTCGCCGCCGAGGACGCTGCCGCCGTCGCCGCCGCCGGCGGCGAAGACGACGACGACGGACGCGGACGACGCGACGCGCGCGATGGCCGAGCTCGCGATGAAGTAGCTTCACACACGCTAGAGGAAACCTCAGCAGACGTCCGAATAGATACCGTAGCCGCGTCGAATCGTACCGAACCTAACGACGCTCGTCACGCGACCGGGACGACGACGGTGGAATAATCCCACACCCTCAACGCGTTGGTCGGGCCCTCGTCCGCCGCCGCCGCCGCCTTCCCCTCCTCGTCCGCGTCCGCGTCCGCGTCCGACTCGGACTCGGACTCGGAATCCGCGCGCGATCGAAAGTGCCTGCACCCCGACACGGACGCCCCCCTCGGCACGCCCCCCACCACGCCGTTCCCGCCCGCCGGCGCCGGCGCCGCGAAGCTCGCGCCCGGGTGAAACGCCCAATCGCTCACGACGTCGCTCGCGCCCCGCCACGCGCCCGCCTCCTCGCCGGTCGTCAGGTCGTACGCGCGCAGCACGCCGTCCTCGCCGCCGGAGACCAGATGCCTCCCGCACGGCTCGACGTCGAACCCGATGCGCTGGTTCGTCATTCGCGCGCGGCGCCGCATGCGATACACCGCGCCGCCGCCTGATCCGCCGCCCGATCCGCCGCGAACGTCCCAGCACAGCATCGCGTCGTCTCGCCGCGCGGCGGTGTAGAGATAGCACCCGCACGGCGACCAACGCGCGTGCGTCACGCCGCCGGCGTGCCCGCTCAGGACCGCGATCCTCTCCCCCGTCGCCTCGTGGTAGATCCCCACGGTCTTGTCGTACGACCCCGCGGCGAGGAGCGCGTGAGGGGACCCGAGCGGGGACGTCGCGAGGCACGAGAGAAGGCCTGCGTGGGTGAAGCGATCGGTCAGTCGAACGTCTTACCGGTCAAACGTTGAAAGGGAAGCGCGGGTGAAGAGTGACGACGGGAAAAGTCCTCAAGGAACGGCGTGCACCACGCGAACGGGGTCGTATGGGAAGCAGTCTCACCCGTCTGTCCGCCGCCGGATCCGCCGGATCCGCGTCGTCGTCCGTCGTTCGTCTTCCACTCGTCGCAATCCCGCCCCGGCCTGGACGCGTCCCAGACGCGAACGCGCTTGTCGTACCCCGCGAAGATTCGCGCGCCGTCGCCGCTGAACGCGACGGCGCACGCGGCGACGGGCTCGTCCAGGTGATCGTACGCGATGTACGACGCGCAAAGCGATCCGGTGACGGCGTCCCAGAGGTGGATCGGCGTCGCGCGCGACGTGGACGCGAACACGCACGTGGCTTGGTCCGTCGCGGTCATGCGCGGGTACCACGCGTAGTCGTGCACGCTCTCGTGCTCCTTTATTCGCAGCGCGGGCCACAGCGCGTCGTGATGAGGGACGACGCCGTCGCCGCTCGCGCTCGTAGTCGCGTTCGTCGTCGCATCGCGCCGATTCGTCGCGACCGCGCGCTCGCACGCGTCGGGGTGCACGTCGTACACCCTGAACGTGTTGTCCTCCGCGCCGCACGTGAGCAAGCACACGCCGTCGGGGGACCAACGCACGCGTTTCAGGTGGTTATCGTGCGGCGTCGACGCGTCGCCGTCGCCGCCGCGCGCGCCGCGGCGGCCGGCGGCGTGCGCGAACTCCGCCGTCATCGTCAGCGACGCGACGGGCCCGGAGCGCGCGGCGGGGGAGACGTCGAGGGCGTGGAAGCGCGACGGGCCGGCCGGCGCGTCGTCGCGCGTCTCGTCGTCCGCGGCGTCCGCGGACCCGGGGTCGGGCGGGGGGTCCGAGGACGTCATCGCGCGGAGAGAGAGTGAGGAGGCGAAGCGCGCCGGCGACGATGTGCACATTATTTATTGCGTTGTTGCTGTTGCTCTGCCGCGCGCCGGGAACGGAACCTCCGCGGTTTTCAAACTGGTATCGAAGCTCAGTATCAACCTGTGCGAGGAGCGCACTTTCAAATCGGCACTTTCAGAACGTCGTAGCTCGGGGGCTCGTCCCAGAGCGACGCGCCGTCCGGCGGGGAGGATGGCGCGCGCGGTGGAGCCGCCGCCGGCGCCGCGGACGCGCGTCCCGGACCGCGCGGGGACGGGGATGAGCGACGCCGAGGACGCGACGAGCGACGCCGCGGTGAGGACGCGCGCGCTTCGAGGGCTCTCGATCGCGCGTTCGAAATTCGACGGCGAACGCGACGACGACGACGACGACGACGACGACGGCGACGACGACGGCGGCGGCGCGGAGGAAGACGACACGACCGCCGCGCGGCGCGTCGCGCGCGCGAACGCGCGCTTCGCGCTCGCGCCCGCGTCCGTGCTCGAGGCGCCGCCGAGCTTCGGAGGTCTCGGCGCGGGCGCGCTCCCGCCGCCGACGCCGACGACGACGACGACGACGACGGGGCTCCGATCGCTCGTCGGCTTGCCGTCCCCGGGCGCGCTCGCGCCGGGGCACGACGCGGCGACGCGTCGAGGCGCGCTCGCGGGCGGCGACCTCCTCCCGCTCCCGCTCCCGCTCCCGCTCCCGCTCCCGGCGGCGAATGATGGAAGAAACGACTCGTTGTCGTGCGTTACCGATCGATCGCTCTTCGGCGCGTTGAGACGCGCGCGTCTGCCCGCGAGCGACCGCGCGAGCGTGGACGTGCGGTTGACGCTGCCGCCGTGGGGCGAGGGCGGCATCCGCGCTGGCGAGGACGAGGACGAGGACGAGGACGATGGCGGCGACCACGACGAACGCGACGACGCGAGCGAGGCGGCGGCGCCCGCGCCGGGGACGCCGGAGCGGTCGTCGTCGACGAGAGACGAGGAGAACGAGGAGGAGGAGAACGATCGGGACCGAACGATGAAAACGCCGGAGGTGGGCTCCGTCGCGTGGTGGACGACGCTCGCCGCGACCGACGCGATCGCGCGCGACGCCGTCCTCGGCTGGGACCTCCTCCCCGCGGAGCGCCCCGCGTGCGGCGCGTTTACGTCGCAAGGCGAGCGCGCGTTCAAGGGTGCGTACGCGCGGCACGTCGCCGCCGCCGAAAAAGGCGTCGATCGACCGCCGAGCGTGGCGACGGAGGCGGAGGTGGTGCACGCGACGCGCCGCGCGCTCGCGGGCGGCGCCGCGGCGGCCGCGGCGCTGCGCGAGACAGCGTCCGCGTCCGACGGCGACGGCGACGCGGCGGCGCGGCGTTTCAGGCTCCCCGCGTCCGGCGCGAAGGCCACGGGCGCGGCGTTGGCGCCGCTCGCGGACGCGGCGGAGAAGCGACGCGACCTCGAGGCGTTCGCGTCGCGGTGCGCCGCGTTCGCGACGCGCGACGACGACGCCCCGGGGCTCGTGACGCAGGCGCTCGGGACCGCGGTTCGAGCCGTGCTGCGGTCGCACGCGGCGTCGCTGCAGTCGCTTCCGGGCGCGATCGAGGCGCGGAGGCGCGCGGAGCGCGAGCGCGGCGCGCCGTTGGCGGCGGCGTACGCCCTTCGCGGCGGAACCACCGGAAAAGAAACTTACGACGGAAAAGAAAACGACGGAAAAGAAAACGGCGTCGGCGACGGCGCGACGCTCCTCGAAGCCGTCGCGCACACGCGGCGGATCCGCGCGCAGCTCGACGTCCTCCACGCACTGTGCTTCGACGGCGACCGGCGAGAGCCGCTGAGCGGCGCGGAGTACCTGCGACGGCTGACGCGCGCGTGCGCGATCCCCGGATGGTCCGCGGATCCGTCCGCGCGGCCTTTGGTGCGGTATCTCGCTCGAGCGGCGGCGAGACCGTTCCTCGCGCAGCTCAAGACGTGGCTCCTCGACGCGACCGTGGACGACCCCCGGCGCGAGTTTTGCGTCGCCGCGAGCGACGTGTGGGGCGCTTCGAGCGGCGAGCTCGAGCGTGGCGCCGCGGAGAGCGGGGTGATTCGATGGGCGAGCGCGGACGACGGCGGCGACGACGTCGCCGCCGCACGCCTCGTCGGCGAGACGAAGGACGAGAAGCTCGCGTCCGGGGCGAGTAAACTCCCGCCGTGGGAGGGCGGCCCGCCAGGGCGGACGTCCGCGAGCGCGCAGCATCGAGGCGCCGACGCGGTCGAGGCGGCGTGGTTGCGCGAGAGCGACGGCGAAGGGGAGGACGAGGACGAGGACGACGCGCGCGCGTCGATCGCCGCGCCGCGCGCGCGCGCGCCGCATCCGCTGCTCGGCGGCGCGGAACGCGTCGTCCTCGCGACCGGGGTGCAGCTCAGGGTGTTGCAGCGGCTGCCTCAGACGTCCGAGTTCGCGGCGTTCGTTCGAAACACGCTGCTCCGCGAATCGAACGACGACGACGACGACGACGACGAAGCCGGCGCGTGGACGCTCGCGTTCGACGCGCGCGAGTTCTCCGCCGTCGCCGCCCGCCGCGAGCGCGATCGCGTCGCGATGGAACGCGCCGCGAGCGCGTGCCTCGACGCGATGGCGTCGACGCGCGCGGCCGCGAGCGCGCGCGCGGACGCGCGGCGACGCGCCGCGCGAGCGGCGGTACGCGCGAGGGAGCTCGAGAAGGAGGCGCTCCTCGCGGAGGGACGCGAGGCGTTGCTGACGGACTTTGAAGAGCGCATCGCGGCCATCGTCTCCAGGCGCGAGCGGGAGGTGTTCCGACGCGAGCGAGCGTCGAGGTTGAACGCGCGCGGGAGGGAGATCGTGGACGCGAGACGGGCGGAGGACGAGGCGCTGATTCGCGGCGAGCTCGCGCAGAGGCTGACCGGGGGCGGGTGGGCGGGATGGAGCCGCATGATCGGCGGCGGCGGCGGCGGCGGCGGCGGCG